ACGGCTCGGGACGTCAGTGCTTCTCTGCCTGCTTGCACCTGGAGGTGATGAACGCTTTAGCCGCCCTCTTTGTAGAGTTCTAGGTTCAGTCCTAGGTGTATAGTTTCGTGATCAAGACCTCTTCCTGTTCGTGATATCAACTCCATGTACTGTCACAGCAGACTCGAAAAGCTGTGAGAACACACCTGAGAAATTCTGCAAGAGACACATGAGTGCAGTTTTGGAGATTTTCATCTAAGCAGCGGTGCCGAATCCGAAAAAGCATAGAGATGGGACCCCCATCATTTTTTTTTTTCAAACGAACTTTCCAGGAAGAAGAGATAACTACTAAGCACCAAAAATGGAAAAACAGCAAACATCCTAATTAAAACCGACACAATACAAGTTAAATACGGTCGATCATAGAAGGAAAAGGTGATATTAGGGAGCAAACACTGGGTGGACATTGAAACAGTTTATGTCAATCTTGGAGAACTTCAACAGCAGCAAGCACGGTAAACGTAAAGAGCAGATAGTTAACGTGCGATAAAATGTAGTAGTATTCACCTTATATTAATTAAAGTATTCGTGTTGTTTAATTCTCCAGTTTGGTATACATCGATTCTGCCAGAACATCACCATGGCGATGAACTAACTGAGACGGCCTGGAGAGTGAGTCAGCAATAAACTGTTGTTGTAGAAACAGTAGAGAGAGAGAGAGAGTCAGCAATAAAATGTTGTTGTAGAAACAGGAGAGAGAGAGAGAGAGAGAGTCGGCAATAAACTGTTGTAGAAACATCCTGTTCTTTGATATTGTCCTTCTTCTGACATTCGATGTAAAATATTACATAGTCACCATCTCCTTCCAGCTCGTGTCTCTTGATATAGTATCCAATGAGTTCCTGCTTCTACTACTTGTGCTTGCATGAATTTATGTTTGTGTGTGTATATATTATGTGCGTGTGTGCAAGTCTATGTGTTTGCATTCATATACATACACTCGTCCTTGTTTATATTTTGTATTGCTTTATGTGTATGTACCTGTGTCTGTGCTTGTACATGTTTTTGTACCTGTGTCTGTGCTTGTACATGTTTTTGTACCTGTGTCTGTGCTTGTACATGCTTTATGTGTATATACCTGTGTCTGTGCTTGTACATGCTTTATGTGTATATACCTGTGTCTGTATGTTTCATCACAAGAGAACATTGCCATATATACTTATATGGTGGTCATAAACTCCTATCCCCTTGAAGGCAGATTTACAAACCTCATATTGGATTACAGGTTAACCAAGTCTACATATGAGTTAGAAGAAATTTCTTTGAAACTATAAGCAGTCAGTGTAATAATGAACATATAAACGTTGGAGTGTCCTTGGGCCCATATAAAATAGAGGGTCAGCCTCTTTGTGTCTTTGACACACACCAGAAGTGTGGAAACAGTTATCTCAGTATGTAAAGACATGCCTCTAGAACCTCCTTAGAACAGCAAACATGTACAGTCACTGATCTACCATACATAATACTTCACCCCGCACAGACAGTATCCCGTTGGGAACCTATTTCTATAATGGCAGTGTCCCGCACAGACAGTACCCAGTTGGGAACCTGTTTCTATAATGGCCGTGTCCCGGCACAGACAGTACCCAGTTGGCAATCTATTTCTATAATGGCCGCGTACCCGCACAGACAGTACCCAGTTGGAAACCTGTTTCTATAATGGCCGTGTCCCCACACAGACAGTACCCAGTTGGGAACCTATTTCTATAATGGCCGTGTCCCCACACAGACAGTACCCAGTTGGGAACCTGTTTCTATAATGGCCGTGTCCCCACACAGACAGTACCCCGTTGGGAACCAACCTGTTTCTATAATGGCAGTGTCCCCGCACAGACAGTACCCAGTTGGGAACCTGTTTCTATAATGGCCGTGTCCCCGCACAGACAGTACCCCGTTGGGAACCAACCTGTTTCTATAATGGCCGTGTCCCCACACAGACAGTACCCCGTTGGGAACCAACCTGTTTCTATAATGGCCGTGTCCCCGCACAGACAGTACACCGTTGGGAACCTGTTTCTATAATGGCCGTGTCCCCGCACAGACAGTACCCCGTTGGGAACCTGTTTCTATAATGGCTGTGTCCCCACACAGACAGTACCCCGTTAGGAACTTGTTTCAATAATGGCCGTGTCCCCGCACAGACAGTACCCCGTTGGGAACCTGTTTCTATAATGGCCGTGTCCCCACACAGACAGTACCCCGTTAGGAACTTGTTTCAATAATGGCCGTGTCCCCGCACAGACAGTACCCCGTTGGGAACCTGTTTCTATAATGGCCGTGACCCCCACACAGACAGTACCCCGTTGGGAACCAACCTGTTTCTATAACGGCCGTGTCCCCACACAAACAGTACCCCATTGGGAACCAACCTGTTTCTATAATGGCCGTGTCCCCACACAGACAGTACCCAGTTGGGAACCTATTTCTATAATGGCAGTGTCCCTGCACAGACAGTACCCAGTTGGGAACCTGTTTCTATAATGGCCGTGTCCCCGCACAGACAGTACACCGTTGGGAACCTGTTTCTATAATGGCCGTGTCCCCGCAGACAGTACCCCGTTGGGAATCTGTTTCTATAATGGCCGTGTCCCCGCACAGACAGTACCCCGTTGGGAATCTGTTTCTATAATGGCCGTGTCCCCGCACAAACAGTACCCCATTGGGAACCTGTTTCTATAATGGCCGTGTCCCCGCACAGACAGTAACCCGTTGTGAACCTGTTTCTATAATGGCCGTGTAGGAGCGACCATATGTCTTTATCACAGGGACTGTCTCGTGTTCCGGCCGCTCCGTCAGCACACCAAAAATAATTACAGTTGTCTCGTTTTAAATCTATTTAGGAAAAAGCTCGACAATACTACAAACAAGTATTGTCAAAGAACTTTATTAGATAAAATTTGTTTAGATACTTTAAAGACTTGGAATGTAATTAAGTGAATTGTCACTGCAGTATGTGTTTTCTCAATGCAGTTGAGAAGCATAAAGTTTTGTTGATTTTGAGTTTTAATAGTATCATTTCAGTCTTTCACCCAGATGATCTTTAAAAAAAACTCTAGAGCAGAAAAGAGTTAGGGGTGGGGTGGGGGGGGGGGGGGGGGGGGGGGGTGGAGTTTCAACTGACATACTTAGGATACTCTTTTTCTTTTAGCTCAAAACATTAGTGGAATGTCCCCTTGCCAGCCCACGACATTCTAGTCACCCTATGACCCTGGAGAGGTGTATAAAGGTCTTGACAAGTATGAACTCTGACCTGTTGCACCACCATGTGTGGTTCAGTACCCCTCATCAGGACAAAATAAGGCAGTATTCACTTGTTTTTTACAGTGTTGCAGCAAGCTGTGTGTCGCATGTGTCAGGTTTTATAATGACTTCATCCAAACTGGAAGTCTGCGTTTGCTGCTAAAGATGGGGATAAAGGCTTTAGGCAATGCCCTGACTGCTGTGATGTCCATTCTCAATTCAACATTCAAAAGACTTCAAAACTTGAGATTGAACATCCTTCAACATTTATTTACACTTCATCTAAGTGTCAACATTATGACAATTCATTTGACATTAACAATGAATGAAAGCACGGCAATCATGAAGATGTATTGCCAGATGCCATGCACTTTTAACAAGTAATGATTTTCAACATAATATTAACATATTAATTAAACTTGACACATTGACATCATCAGCAAGTGCCTTGCCAGACATGCTAAGCGTTTACACCTCCCCACAGAGCGTGGTCATTAGATTGCTCTGAGTCAATTTCGTCAACAGTTTTCCATGCCATCATCTTCGACCACCCAGCATCTTTTTTGACTACCCAGCATCATTTTTCTCAGGCTAATTTTTCTACAGTTGAACTTTCTTAACTTCATAATGTTTTCCAATGTCTTTCTTCCAAGAGACATGACCAAAGACAGTTGTTTTTAATGTCTACCGTCATTCTTCTTCTTCTTCAGCATTCCGAGCCCTTGAGGTTCATTGCTGCAGATATTACCCCCCTCCATTCATCTCTCTGTTTGACTTATCTTTCCAGTTGGTGACACCAAGTGTTTGCAGGTAAGTCTCAACATTATCTCTCCATTGTCTTCTTGGTCTGCCTCGTTTTACTTCTCTGTCATCCGACATTCTTTCAATATGCCCCAACCATTTCAGTCTATTAGCTCTCATGATGCCAGTGATCAATTGTGATTCAAACAGATTATGAATTTTGTTGCTGCTTCTCACTTTCCATTCTCCGCTGTTTGCATCTTTGATGGGTCCAAAGATTCGTCATAAGACTGTTTTCAAAAACCTGTATTGAGGCTTCATCTCTTTTAGCTGTGCTCAAATTTTCAGAGCCATATAAAACAACTGGTCTTATCAGTCTACCATCATTAGCTTTTCCAAATCACGGTTAGTAATTCTAGCAATCCAAGATATTTGCAACATGTCTTAGACAACACATCCCTGCCGCCTCCAAGCTCTTCTTAATCAAAACTAACTAACCTACACTAGATCAAAGCCCAAGTTGCGGAAATTAGATTTCAAATCTTCTTCTTCAGTGAACTCTGGTATGCACTTGGGTCACTGACTAGGATGTCAGCTTGAGCTCTCTTACATATCCCCAAAGATTAGTGTCAGGTCTATTAGGTGTCGCCACATGTTGCTTCATGACTTCTTGAGAAGGAAAGCCTTGTGAGACACGTTCTAGCGTATGTTCAGCATGAAGAAACTGACAGAGAGTTGTGCAGCACATATCTAACATATATACGAGTGTTCGTTGAATCTGCAGTGTCCAGTATGTGAGCAAAACAGTGACTTGATCTGTTCTATTCAGAATCAAATTTTTGTATGCAATTTAAAAAAAAAACTCAATCAGAATTACAATCAACATCAAAACCTGAGCTGTGAATATCAATCACACTACACGACCTGACCCCATCTGATCCTGGAGTGGGATGGCAGCACAGAGCAGGGGGAAGGTGGCACTACCAGGTAACATCCCCAAACCTAGAAACCAGTTTGTCTTGCTCCAGAAGGTCCTTCTGTATTTTCTTGCGCATGTAGAAGATTGGACAGTCCCGGCTGGTCAACCAAACAAGGATGAATGTATTAATTGTGAGCTGACATCATGTAAATCTTACTCAGAGAATTCATACATTGAAGTAAAAATGACCAGATATTGCAATGGATCTTGGAAAAGTCCAGGATTTAACATTATCAAGTTACAACACAAGGTCTGTTGTCTGATGGCAATGCACAGGATGGCTTGATATGAACTGACTGAGGTGGGGAGTTGACTTAATTCAAGAATTCTCATGTGTGCTCCGTCGTCCTCTTCAGCAGCCATCACGGAGTTCCAATACTAATTGTAATGATCACAATCTGGCTAAAAGTCCATCTTGCCTTTCCTCTTAGTGAGCTGGCCAGACCCTCTGGTTACACCTAGGTGCCTCATTCTCTCCAGGTAATAATAATCTTGTTTCTCTACTGATTTCCTTTGCTTGTTCCCAAAGGGCCTTGACCACATCTGCCTTGTCATGTATCAATTCACCACGCAGTAATGCAGATCCGGCCAATATGTCTGCCTGTTCACTACCCACTAGACCGGCATAACCCGGAGAAATGATCCAAAGTATGCTCATTACCCGTGACCTTCCCAGTGAAGCTTGAGGTGGGGAATAACGACGAAAAAAAGAATGTAGAGATTAATTCAAAGATGTTACAGCCACAACAGAAACAAAAAGCTTTATGACACATTGCTGTGGTGTGGCATGTCCACAACTTAGCTCCCTAGTCTAACAGTTCTAACACTGAAGTAACACACTGCTGTGGTGTGGCGTGTCCACATCTTGGCTCCCTAGTCTAGCAGTTTTAATACTGAAGCAACACACTGCTGTGGTGTGGCATGTCCACATCTTGGCTCCCTAGTCTAGCAGCTCTATCTCTGAAGTAACACACTGCTGTGGTGTGGCTGTCCACATCTTGGCTCCCTAGTCTAGCAGTTCTAACACTGAAGTAACACACTGCTGTGGTGTGGCATGTCAACAACTTGGCTCCCTAGTCTAGCAGTTCTAACACTGAAGTAACACACTGCTGTGGTGTGGCATGACAACATCTTGGCTCCCTAGTCTAGCAGTTCTAACACTGAAGTAACACACTGCTGTGGTGTGGCATGTCAACAACTTGGCTCCCTAGTCTAGCAGTTCTAACACTGAAGTAACACACTGCTGTGGTGTGGCATGACAACATCTTGGCTCCCTAGTCTAGCAGCTCTAACACTGAAGTAACACACTGCAGTGGTGTGGCATGACATCTTGGCTCCCTAGTCTGGCAGTTCTAACACTGAAGTAACACACTGCTGTGGTGTGGCATGACATCTTGGCTCCCTAGTCTGGCAGTTCTAACACTGAAGTAACACACTGCTGTGGTGTGGCATGACATCTTGGCTCCCTAGTCTAGCAGTTCTAACACTGAAGTAACACACTGCTGTGGTGTGGCTGTCCACATCTTGGCTCCCTAGTCTAGCAGCTCTAACACTGAGCAACACACTGCTGTGGTGTGGCTGTCCACATCTTGGCTCCCTAGTCTAGCAGTTCTAACACTGAAGTAACACACTGCTGTGGTGTGGCTGTCCACAACTTGGCTCCCTAGTCTAGCAGTTCTAACACTGAAGTAACACACTGCTGTGGTGTGGCTGTCCACATCTTGGCTCCCTAGTCTAGCAGCTCTAACACTGAAGTAACACACTGCTGTGGTGTGGCTGTCCACATCTTGGCTCCCTAGTCTAGCAGTTCTAACACTGAAGTAACACACTGCTGTGGTGTGGCATGTCAACAACTTGGCTCCCTAGTCTAGCAGTTCTAACACTGAAGTAACACACTGCAGTGGTGTGGCATGTCAACAACTTGGCTCCCTAGTCTAGCAGCTCTAACACTGAAGTAACACACTGCTGTGGTGTGGCTGTCCACATCTTGGCTCCCTAGTCTAGCAGTTCTAACACTGAAGTAACACACTGCTGTGGTGTGGCATGTCAACAACTTGGCTCCCTAGTCTAGCAGTTCTAACACTGAAGTAACACACTGCTGTGGTGTGGCTGTCCACATCTTGGCTCCCTAGTCTAGCAGTTCTAACACTGAAGTAACACACTGCTGTGGTGTGGCTGTCCACATCTTGGCTCCCTAGTCTAGCAGTTCTAACACTGAAGTAACACACTGCAGTGGTGTGGCATGTCCACAACTTGGCTCCCTAGTCTAGCAGTTCTAACACTGAAGTAACACACTGCAGTGGTGTGGCATGTCCACAACTTGGCTCCCTAGTCTAGCAGTTCTGACACTGAAGTAACACACTGCTGTGGTGTGGCTGTCCACATCTTGGCTCCCTAGTCTAGCAGTTCTAACACTGAAGTAACACACTGCTGTGGTGTGGCTGTCCACATCTTGGCTCCCTAGTCTAGCAGTTCTAACACTGAAGTAACACACTGCTGTGGTGTGGCTGTCCACATCTTGGCTACCTAGTCTAGCAGTTCTGACACTGAAGTAACACACTGCTGTGGTGTGGCTGTCCACATCTTGGCTCCCTAGTCTAGCAGTTCTAACACTGAAGTAACACACTGCTGTGGTGTGGCTGTCCACATCTTGGCTCCCTAGTCTAGCAGTTCTAACACTGAAGTAACACACTGCAGTGGTGTGGCATGTCCACAACTTGGCTCCCTAGTCTAGCAGTTCTAACACTGAAGTAACACACTGCAGTGGTGTGGCATGTCCACAACTTGGCTCCCTAGTCTAGCAGTTCTGACACTGAAGTAACACACTGCAGTAGTGTGGCATGTTCAAATCTTGGCTTCCTAGTCTAGCAGCTCTAACACTGAAGTAACACACGGCAGATACCAAGTTCCAGTATTGGTCTGTAGGACCTCACACACTTTTACTGTAGCTTCCAGAGAAGGACAGCCATATCAGTTCAGTTTCCCTAAGTCAACTTGTGGGTCCCAGGGCCCCATTTTGGGAGCAAAAAGAATCAACCCCCCCCCCCCCCCCCCTCCCACCACCACCACCTGTAACAAGCATGCTACAATAGGTCACTAATTAGGATTCGGCTGAAATGGAAAGTGTTGGGACAGAAAGGCACTGATATCACAGCCTAGATCAGGGGTTCCTATTCTGACTTGTGGAGCCATTTTTTAAAATTTATTTCTAAGGCAAAGTTCCTTTGTACCTCATGTCTTACAGGATAATTGTGTTTAGAAGTAATGTTTAAAAGGGGAGGAAAGAAGAGGTGTACATTAAGGGAATCTGCAGCAAAAAAATATGTAAAGAACTGTGCAATGTCCATTCAATTAAACTATACTTTAGAAACTTTGAAATATACAACAGTTATCCCCCCCCCCCTCTCTCTCTCTCTCTCTCTCTCTCTCTTTCCCCCAACTACCATCAATACAATACACATGATATTATCAAATCTTGGCATTATTTTCTCTGAAGTGGCTGCGGAGCCCTTAGGACAAGCACAGAGAGCTCTAAGTGTTTGGTGGAGCACTGGTTCAAAACCACTAGCCAAGTTATAGAGCACAACACAACGTGCCAACTGTCCCATTTGTGGGTGAATACAGAATAAGATCTTGAAAGATGATTCTTTTATGCTGCATCAGGGAGGAAGTCTCTCAACCTCAACAATACCTCAACAGATTCTAACCACCAATCCCATACACAGCCAAGTCACAATTCAACATCTATGGTACAACATACACACTGTGCAAGTATGTACTTGGCACATATGAAGCCAAGTCACAATTGAACATCTATGGTACAATATACACATTGTACAAGTATGTACATGGCACAAACGAAGCCAAGTCACAATTCAAAATCTATGGTACAATATACACACTGTACAAGTATGTACATGGCACATACGAAGCCAAGTCATAATTCAACATCTACGGTACAACATACACACTGTACAAGTTTGTACTTGGCACATATGAAGCCAAGTCACAATTGAACATCTATGGTACAATATACACACTGTACAAGTATGTACATGGCACAAACGAAGCCAAGTCACAATTCAAAATCTATGGTACAATATACACACACTGTACAAGTATGTACTTGGCACATACACATATATGGTACAACGTACACACTGTACAAGTACGTACTTGGTACACAGGACATCCTCATGCAAGCTGCCCTGGCAACGCTGACATTGGGTCCACAGTCTGGAGAACTTCTCCTCCAACGCCTGGACCTGACTGAGCTCCTTCTGGTACAGCTGAGATTCCTTGGGCTTGCAGTGCTGGCAGACAGCCACACCTGGCAGGGACAAGCCAACCAGCATTTGTACAACTTCTCATTCTTGTAGTTCACAACAGACCAGTTTTATCACATAGCCAGAACTATAGCCTGGCAGGGACAAGCCAACCAGCATTTGTACAACTTCTCATTCTTGTAGTTCACAACAGACCAGTTTTATCACATAGCCAGAACTATAGCCTGGCAGGGACAAGCCAACCAGCATTTGTACAACTTCTCATTCTTGTAGTTCACAACAGACCAGTTTTTTATCACATAGCCAGAACTATAGCCTGGCAGGGACAAGCCAACCAGCATTTGTACAACTTCTCATTCTTGTAGTTCACAACAGACCAGTTTTATCACATAGCCAGAACTATAGCCTGGCAGGGACAAGCCAACCAGCATTTGTACAACTTCTCATTCTTGTAGTTCACAACAGACCAGTTTTATCACATAGCCAGAACTATAGCCTGGCAGGGACAAGCCAACCAGCATTTGTACAACTTCTCATTCTTGTAGTTCACAACAGACCAGTTTTTTCACATAGCCAGAACTATAGCCTGGCAGGGACAAGCCAACCAGCATTTGTACAACTTCTCATTCTTGTAGTTCACAACAGACCAGTTTTTATCACATAGCCAGAACTATAGCCTGGCAGGGACAAGCCAACCAGCATTTGTACAACTTCTCATTCTTGTAGTTCACAACAGACCAGTTTTTATCACATAGCCAGAACTATAGCCTGGCAGGGACAAGCCAACCAGCATTTGTACAACTTCTCATTCTTGTAGTTCACAACAGACCAGTTTTTTTTCACATAGCCAGAACTATAGCCTGGCAGGGACAAGCCAACCAGCATTTGTACAACTTCTCATTCTTGTAGTTCACAACAGACCAGTTTTATCACATAGCCAGAACTATAGCCTGGCAGGGACAAGCCCAACCAGCATTTGTACAACTTCTCATTCTTGTAGTTCACAACAGACCAGTTTTATCACATAGCCAGAACTATAGCCTGGCAGGGACAAGCCAACCAGCATTTGTACAACTTCTCATTCTTGTAGTTCACAACAGACTAGTTTTATCACATAGCCAGAACTATAGCCTGGCAGGGACAAGCCAACCAGCATTTGTACAACTTCTCATTCTTGTAGTTCACAACAGACCAGTTTTATCACATAGCCAGAACTATAGCCTGGCAGGGACAAGCCAACCAGCATTTGTACAACTTCTCATTCTTGTAGTTCACAACAGACTAGTTTTATCACATAGCCAGAACTATAGCCTGGCAGGGACAAGCCAACCAGCATTTGTACAACTTCTCATTCTTGTAGTTCACAACAGACCAGTTTTATCACATAGCCAGAACTATAGCCTGGCAGGGACAAGCCAACCAGCATTTGTACAAACTTCTCATTCTTGTAGTTCACAACAGACCAGTTTTATCACATAGCCAGAACTATAGCCTGGCAGGGACAAGCCAACCAGCATTTGTACAACTTCTCATTCTTGTAGTTCACAACAGACCAGTTTTATCACATAGCCAGAACTATAGCCTGGCAGGGACAAGCCAACCAGCATTTGTACAACTTCTCATTCTTGTAGTTCACAACAGACCAGTTTTATCACATAGCCAGAACTATAGCCTGGCAGGGACAAGCCAACCAGCATTTGTACAACTTCTCATTCTTGTAGTTCACAACAGACCAGTTTTATCACATAGCCAGAACTATAGCCTGGCAGGGACAAGCCAACCAGCATTTGTACAACTTCTCATTCTTGTAGTTCACAACAGACTAGTTTTATCACATAGCCAGAACTATAGCCTGGCAGGGACAAGCCAACCAGCATTTGTACAACTTTGCACAACTTCTCATTCTTGTAGTTTGTAACAGACCAGTTTTATCACATAGCCAGAACTATAGCCTGGCAGGGACAAGCCAACCAGCATTTGTACAACTTCTCATTCTTGTAGTTCACAACAGACCAGTTTTATCACATAGCCAGAACTATAGCCTGGCAGGGACAAGCCAACCAGCATTTGTACAACTTTGCACAACTTCTCATTCTTGTAGTTCGTAACAGACCAGTTTTATCACATAGCCAGAACTGTCGGCTGGCAGAATGGTCAGAATGCTAGGCCCTCAAGCGGGAGACTTGGGTTCCAATCTTTAACAAGGTTGGGGATTTTTCAGTTAGAGTACAAATAAAATCCTAGCCTGCACAGTTTGTGGCAACAGCACTAGCCATGCGGCCCTAATTCCTCAGACTTAGGACCCCCTAAATCCCAAATTGGTAAATACAGGCAGTAAGAGCTGTTTCCAAACCCAGCGTATGCAACATGCGAAAAGGTCCCAGCAGTCCTGTCCATGTCTATGTAGCAGGCAAACAGATCCCTGGACTGCCGGAAGACATTCTCTCCTCATAAACACCCTCATCTCCGACTACTTAAAGTCCTGTCTACTACCCAGGATCGCAGAGTGAGGCAAGAATCCAAGGAACAAAATGGGTCAGTGGGTAAACATGGCAGAGCATGCAGAACCAAAGCAATTATTATGAAAATGTTAAACAAAGAACTGTCCAGTAACAATCAGAACATCATGAGTTAATGTAAACTAGGAGAGAATGGAGAAAACACAGAGACAAACCATAAATGTGATTACCTTCAGTACTCAGGGGTGTCTTACAACCAATACATGTGCTTTTCTTCTGTGTGAAGGCAGCAAGGCCTCCGACCTTTGATCTAACTACAGTCTTTGTTCTGGTATGGTCGCCTTCTGCAATGAAAGAGCAAATTAGGTGGTGTCTAGATGTGCCATTACTTGATAATTTTCACATGGATAAATCTTCAATAATGCTTGTGATCAAGGAAAGACATGTGCAATGATACAACATGTAATGGACAACAGGTAATGATAAAAATGGTAATGAATACAATGTGTTATAATACAACATGTAATGAAATAATAGGTAATGAGAAACATGAAATGATGCAGTGTGTAAGGGGACAACATGAGCTGAGTTGAGTTGATTCAAGATCTGACATCACAGCACTTGGGACATTCCCATAAGTGCTCCGTCTCTGTCTTTAGCAGCCAGCGCAGAGTTCCAATACTAATGGTGCCAGTAGCATTCTGATAAAACATCTGTCTTGCCTTTCCTCTGAGCCTTGAGCAGGGGCCAGAACCCCTTGTTACCCCCCGCTGCAACAATCTCACCAGGCTGTGGTGATCCATCTGCTCCTCCGAACTGTACCCGCTCTCCCACAAGGCCCCAACCACATCTGCCTGATCATACATCAATATTCCACCAAGTTGTGCAGAGCCAGCCAACTGTCTGCCTGTTCATTTCCCAACACACCAGCATATCCGGAGAAACAATACTCCTCACCCGTGTCCTCCGCATTGAAGTATGCTTCTCTGCACGAAGCATGTCCTGACCTTCCTTAGCATTCTTTCTGAGTCACTTACAATCTCTCTCCCTCTCCCTCGTACGTGCGTGCGTGTGTCTCTCATGTTCTCTAACCAGTGGACAGCTGCAGTGACTGTCCCAACTTCCATTCTTAAGCTGGATGTTGTAGTATCATATGCTAGGCTCTCCTGCACCAAAAGTTGACCATTAACTTTTGCTAAGAAACCCCAAGCACTTCTTTTGCCTCCTGACACTGAACCACCTGTACAAATAATCACATCCTCTGAGAAGACAACATGTAATGATACAAGGTGTAATGATAGGATATGTAATGAGAAAACATGCAATCATACAACACATAAAGATATAATATGCAATTATAGAATGTGCAATGATACAACATGTAATGAGACATCATGCAATGATACAACATGCAATGATACAAAACACAATGAGACAACAATGTACATCATCATTATCAATCAGAGGGTCTTTTTTTTTTAAAAACTGCACTGGTTACGGCATGCCCCAAAGTCTCTCTTTATTGAGCCAATTCTCCAGCCTACATGTGTTTTCACAACCAATGCATCTTCAGTGTCTTGTTTCCTCTTCATGGAGGTCTGCTTTTCCTCATTTTCCAGAACCTGTACCATCTATCATCACTCTCTCCATGCAGGCCACCCTGAGGTCTGACATGGCCAAAATACCTCCGTTTTAAGGGACAGAATACTATTCCAGGGCCAGTTCTCCTCAATGCTCAGATCTATTGGACCAGACTTTTCAACTAAGTCAGAGCTCACAATGTTGGAACATGGGGATTGTTGCAGGTCTGTGGCCTGAGCACCCGCATAGAAAGATCATTAATACAAAAGAATTGGCAGTCCAAATGGATGAACAAACAGGACATTCTGCTAAAATTCACAGCCTGCGAATGCAAAGAAAAATAAAACAATTGGCAAGTGACTAAACCTCTGCAGGCCAGATGTGGTCTGCGGGCCGCCAGCTGAATAGCCCTGATGTAGGAAGTATCCGTTTCTCTTCTTTCTGGTCTATTATAAGAATTTTTCTGCGGCATTTCAGTTCAAATTCTCCAATTTTATAAAAAAAAATTATCTTTTACGATTTAGTAAGAGTCCAGGACTCACATTCATAAGTTGTCACAACAATGCACATCTAAATATAAATTGGAATTAGTTCCACACTGGCTGCATGGAAGTGGTAAAAAACAACCACTGCACATAAACAATAAAAATAATCACATAAATATGACTATTCAGTATAAACAATTACTATGGACTAAAACAGGAACCTACTCAGTAAAACAGACTCTGCCTTTTTGTCTCCGAGGATGGGTTCAAAGATCCTGAGCAAAGGCTTTGACAGCTGGTTTTCCAGATAATACTGACAGTCTATGGGGACGTTATTTTCAAGAACATAGATAGGATCCTGCAGAAACATGAACATACTTTCAATTAGTTAGTTAGTTAGTTAGTTAGTTAGTTAGTTAGTTAGTTGGGTTATCCTCATTGCACTCCGGACATGTCCATAGGTGCTCAGATCCTCCCCTCAGTATGAACCCCAACATCCGATGGCTAATAGTACCAGTTCTATGTTGATTAACAAGTCTTCTGGCGTAGCTGGTGTGCGTCTCGTTTTTTGCTGTGCCGATCTTAATTCCCAAGTCTGCCATTCTGGCGAGTGATGTGGATTCACTGCCACCAAAGTCCTCTATCCTTCCCATTTCTCTGAGGGCATTGATAATATCAGCATGATCCATAGGCTGACCGTCGGTAGTGATAGCGGATCCAGCCAACCTGTCAGCTCTTTCATTTCCATCGACGCCTGCGTGTCCCGGAACAAAAATAAAGGTGACTCCACGAACAGTGGACTTCTGTACATACTTTCAATATACTGTTGTATGTAAACAGACATGATACACAACAGTTCTCTGGTTAATTTTTGTAAATGAAACATACAATACCTCCATGATTACATTATAATCAACTCAACATTTAAGAAAATAGCTTTTAATTTCCCCCCCCCCCCTCCCACAGTTAACTTTTTTTCCAATCAGATAATTTCCAACTTAAGGTTCCGGTTTGTTTGAAAAAAAAAAAAAAAGTTCATGTCACCCTAACCAGCTCCAATAGTGAGCGGCGGTTATTTTGGGACTGCGTTTATTTGTTTGGAGTTTCCAATAGTTTTTTTCAATTGTGACGAACTGCGTCTAGAAGTAGTTTCCTGGCGTGTTTCTGCGATGTTGGCCGTGATTGGGAGTGGAAGTTTACTAGTCCTGATAAGGACTAGTAAAGTGTGCCGGGGCGGCCTCGTACGGGTGGGAGGGATTGGGTTGGGCGGTTGACATCATGCCTGGCTGGTAGCGAGCTGTGGGGTGTTCTCCTGGCTGGGTGGTTGGCTGGTTCAGCTGTCATGGCGGCTGGACTGGAGGGCGTGGGTTAGTTTCTCGAGTTCATCTCTGGCCAGTTTGTCTTCGTATGATCCCGCATATTTGGCTAGTTCTGCGTCTATTCTGTCTGACTCTTCTTTTGCTGCTTGTTTCGCTTTTTTGTCTTCCTCCAGCATTGCTTCGAGGTCTTCGTCTGCTATTTCTGCTGTTTATTTTTGCTTTCTGTGCTTTTTTTGCGGTTTAGGGCTGATTGCCTTTTTCGTTCTGCTTCTTTCCTTGTGCTTTCCCTGGCGTCCATCACTTCATTGGTGGCTTGCAGTGCGGCGCTCAGTTTGGTCAATTCTTCCTTTGCCTTGGCTAGCTCTGCTTTTGTTTCTATCGCTTCTTTCTTGGCATCGGCGACATCATTTAGTAGGGTTGTATGGTTTCTTTGGATCTCTTTGGCGGATTCGACGTCTGCTACCTTGATCTTTTTGAGTTCAGTAAGCATCGCCATCAATTCTGTCTTGAATACCATCATCTCGCTGTTTTCTTTCTCCAGTCGTCTTTTTCCAACTTAATGTCCACAGACCAAATATAAATGGTTTAAATAATTTCTGTCAATGTAATGTAAGAACCGAGGTCAACTGCAGTATATTCTACCCTTTCCAACAGGAATTTGTAATGTCAGCATAGTTTTTACTCTTGTTTATTTTTATTATACTTATCTAAGAAGTGTGGGCTTCCAAATCACAACCCTGGAGTAAAACTGAACCTAGAAACAGAGGTTTGTATTTCAGCAAAATGAGCACAAATGTTTCTTGACCTGAACAAACTCTTTTAATCATTGCAGAACAAGAAAATATATTTCTGGAACCCTCACATTCAATGCTAATGTTTCAGGGGGAAATAGAGTCTGTTTTCAAGTCCACTAACCTCTGATTTCATGTACGCAGCAGTTCCTTTTGCCGCAGCTGTAATGACATAAGGTACACGATCTCCCAGCTTTGGTGCACTGCCTGGGTCTCTTTTCTGCATTCTGAAAGATAAATTACAAGGTGAGCATTTCATTAAGGAGGACTATATTTGAATACAAAAATGGATTTCAAGGTGTAATCTTCTTCTTCCTCTTCTCTTACATTCTTCAAGATTTGTCACCAGCATCTGGACAGAATAGTGAAAGGGGAAATAACCAAGGACCAGGCCAACACTCAACGCAATATCTTTTAATGCAATCTTACTGGGTTGCAAATATTAAAATGTATTGCGTGGGCAACTGCTGATCTGTTGGCGATAAACATTCTGTGTGTTTTTTGTTGGCACAGGAGTGGAGCAAAGATGGGGTGACCCGTTTGCTATGAAGCTGAAACTAAGACTACCAGAAATATGTAAATCTGTGGTGACAACATTATCACAAATGAAAGTAGTTTAAGATGGGAAGAATTAATTCCGCAGTAAAAAAAAAAAAACTTTTTTCATGAATGACCAGTGGAAAGTCTGTGTTCCAACATACGAATGCTTATTATTTGCATGAGAATACATACATCATTTGTGTGCATACATCATTTGTGTTACCAGGACCCACGTTGAGTGCTGAGCTAAGAATTGATTTCATAGCACTTAGGACATTCGCATAAACACTCTATCCTCATAATCAGCAGCCAGTGAAGAGTTTCAATTCTGATGTTGTCAGTAGCAGTTTTATTATATGTCTGTCTTACCTTTCCTCTCAGTGTATGTATCGGCCAGATCCCCCTGATCACTTGTTCTTAAAATGTCTTGATCATATCTAGCTCGTTATGCATAAATTCATCACCAATTGGTGCAGAACCAGCAAGTGTGCCTGTTCTTTTCCCAATAATCCTGCATGCCCGGAGAAAACATAAAAAAGCTAACCACCCAGGAGCCATAAGAGAGAAAGAATAGCCATGCTGATCATGCATTGTCATAAACAGTAAGAACTTGAGATGGCTAGCCCGAGACTGCCTATCTGAACAAGTTAGGAAGAAGTCTAAGAACTGCTTGTGAACTGTGGCTGAGAGTCTGTTTTGTCATGGAAGGCATAGTCGCATGAAGCTCAAAGCCTGAATCATGCTTGCCATACTGTAGTGGCCAACAGTTTAAGACCACATAGTAAATAGTTTATTTCCCCAAATGATTATGGAGTATTGCATCAACTGTTATTTTAGGGTAGTATGATGACTGCACTTATTGCTTTAGTGGGCTCTAAAATAGCAGTGGATGCCATTACTTTGTAATGCAGAAAAATCAGTTTTGCTAAATGGCCTTAAACTTTTTACATGATCAGTGAGTCTGAATTTCTACTGAACAACTTAGAAAATAATGACATCAAGTGACTGACCTGTTAGCCAGTTCAACGTGTGCCTGTTTGCCTGAATACTCCTCATCTGTCTTGGTCAGTTCTTTGGTGATGACCAGCTGGGAGATGTCAATGCGGTTGCACAGAAGATCAGAGATTGTTTGCTTCGCATGTTCAACAGCACCATTTGGATTTCTGCAAGCAAGCAGTATAATCATTAAGATACCAGAGAGGGAGCATCCAGGGTGTAGCAGCTAGATGCTCGCCTGCGGATCTGAAGGTTGCAGGTTCAGGTCCTAACAGAGCTGGACTTTCCCCACAAAAAAACTTCTGGCTCCCAGGTCGACCCAGCTCTAAATGAGTACTGGGTAAAGTCCTGGGAAGAAAAGGTGGCCAGTGTCATGTTGACCATATCACACGAGTGCCGATTGGTTTATAAAATATAGGTCTAGCCCTATATGCCAAATACACTTGAAGGAGTGAAACAGGGTTCTGTTACTTTACTTAAGATACCAGAGAGACCGAACAATACATTTTATAATTCGTAACAGATATATCTTTGAGGGCATTTGGCACGCTCCTTTGTGGTCAACAGCTAGTCTGGGATATATGACCCTTTTGGATGAACGTACTTGATTCAAGGAAATCTCTTAATTAGTCCTCTTTCACAACATGCTTCTCAAGGGACAGTCGATATCTTGCATTACCCCCCCCCCCCCTTTTTCCAAGAAATCTGGAACAAACAAAGGGGTCACAGTAACAACAATAATAATTTACAAATGGGATACAATGGGTTTAAGTAGTTGATAAAATGACCTAGGCTCCCAGGTCAGCCCAGCCTTGAAGAGATGCTAGGAAACTTCCTGAAATGTAAAGGCACCTGGTGTGATGTAGACCGCATCACTTACAGAGTGCTGACTGGCCTAAACAATATAGCTTTAGCCCTAAACGCCAAATACATCTGAAGGCGTGAAAAATGGCCCTTTACTTATTTTGTTTAATCAAGTAGTCGATGCAATTGACATTTCATCAAGCAGAAACAATTCTTTCATCCACACATAAAACACTGCAATTTCATTAAATCATGTTTATATATTACAGAACATTCCATACTTATTACATCTACCTGACTAGAATCTATGACTCTTTATCACCCACAACCCACTTATAGATTATCTCACCCACAACTCACTGATACATACATATTTAATCATCAGGAACCCATAGGCACTAAACAAAAACTCCACTCATGCCCAAGGGTAAATCAGTTTATTTCAATCCTAACATACCTGTCAATCAACAGGAGACGTAGGCAGGTGTTTATCAGCTGGGCTACAAGAGGACAGTTGTCACGTCGCACTGTTTCAATGCCCTTGCAATCCATCTTGTCATGTTTCTTGGGGTTAGTCCAGTAGAGGCCAGCATATCGTTTTTTGTTGATCAGGAGGTATGGAAAATACACCTGCAGACAGTTGTGAGAAGTATGTTCAGGAAACAACAAAACAGACTGGTTATAAAAACCATGTTTTACCACTGACCAGGTTCTAATTGTGGGTAAAATGTCCACTGGTCTACAAAAATATGGGGCTAGAACTATAAACATCTCAAGGCATGAGAATGAGTCCTTTACTTTTACTGACAATGACATCAGCCAACTGTCCGCTAAAGCACTGGTTCCCAATTATTCCTATTTTCAAAGGTCTGTCATGGACTCATACGTCTTTTCACTTATACTTAAAAAAAACAAAAAAACACTGGGTAAGTCTATATTAGTCTTTGTCTTAGTCGAGGTTTCAACATCACTGTGATCGGGTATACCCATACTTGCTCCGTTCCTGTGCCAGTGCGAATCAATGGAAATGTCCCTTAGCGTTGCACTTGAAAAACTGGTGAACAAACAACTAGTCCCGCAACAATCTAAAAACTGGGTAAATCAAAATTGGGGGGGGGGCGCTAAGTTTTTTTCCCCCTTGTTTCTGAATCATTGACCTTCTAAGTTTGTTACACGGACCACATAATGGGAACCACTATCATCAGCCTAGAAGTAGATACCAATCTTTAAGTCACTCTTATCTTTTGTGACTACTTATGATGATTTAACTAATAGATATGTATGTAGTGTCCTCTACAAGAACAGCAGCAAAGTAACATCTCATACAGTGTGAGCCCAGTATGTTAGAGGTCTAACACTTCCCTCTCCTTCTTCTTCTTCTTCTTCTTGTTCACCGGCTGTGAATTCCGGCGGTAAGTCGCAGTTGTTCGTCCAAAATGGACTTTAGGCTTTTTACCTTGACCTGAGTTTTGCGTGTACATCCGTTTTACTGACTTATTTGTTTGCAGTTCTCGTTCCCCGCCTCTCCGGCAGATGTACTCCGACTTCGAGGGAAGACGTCAAGCCTATTTCTAGGTTGACTGTGGCCATTGTTTTGTGTGGGTCGAGATGGTGCCTCATTTGTGTGGTGTCCTCTTTGACCTATAACAGGTGTGGCTCCCGGAATATCGTCTTTAAGGCAGCCCTAGGTAGAATGGTCAGCCCTCAAGAAAAGGCAGGGGCAGATCATGGGCATTCCCCGCCATCCAAGGAGGCTTCCATAAATGCAGAGCCGACACATGATGCTCTGGTTCTGGGCTCACCCAAGGAATCGTCACGTCCTGCCCATGACTGCTTAACCTCACAACCGTGTATTGAGCTTCCCGCGCTACAAGGCTGCACTCTTCGGAGATCAGCGGGGAGCGGCCCGCAGGTCCAGGACTTTTGTGGCCACACAAATAGGTACATTCTTTTTCATCGCACGTTAGACACCTTTTACGTTGTTTCAGTTGTGCCCTTAGCACGACAGAATGGGGAAGCAAAATGCGTCAGGCGTGGCTTCACCTGTTTGGTTCCAACACTCAGGCGAGTGGGACCAGTGGATACGGACATTTGGACTTTTTCCTAATCAGTACGAATTATGATCGTCGGACTTTGAGCTTGCATGTGTGCCGTGGGGTATAACTTTGTCGGACATTATTTCCTAGCCAGCATATGAAAAGTTGCTGCCGTGGTGTACCTCAGCGCGGTGACGACGACACTGAGGATTGATAGAGGATGTACGTAGGTAGGATCTTGCTGCGAGAAGTCGCCCACAAGAGATGTTACTCGTCTTGGCTGCGGGTAAATCTCTCGGTCAGGGTTGAGTCTCAGCAGCACAGTTTTCCATTCGCTCCCGAATTTTAACCGAGAGTTGTCATTTGATGGTTAATTTAGCAAGCAATCCTTGAGTTTTGTTAGACTTTTCACCCATGCGTTTGGGGGCGGGCTGGTGAGAGCCAGAAAGGACACTACACCTCTAGGGGCCGCCAGCTCCGAGATCCCCTGCCAACTCAATGCTCATTTGAGACATTATCCGTGGCGCACGACGGGGACATGCAGCAGGAGTCTTGCATGAGGTTCCGTAAAACCAGAACAGTAAAGGGCTGGCGCCCGAGTGGGGTACGGAGTATCTCCTTATACGCATCACATCAGACTTAACTTTGCCTCATGCCTGTGACCGAAATCACCGCGCCACACTTCCCTCTCAATAACACAGCTCACTGTGTCTGCATTACCATAACAGTTCAGTATGAATGCAGAAAATGAGTACAGAGGTGTCAAATTTGTAATTTATATTCTAAATAAATAATTCCCAAATTGTGATCACCTGACCTCCAGGTTGACGGAAAATCTAAGAGGCACGTGATTGATACCATCTCAGAAACAACCTCAATCCTTTTTTTTTGTTTTCTATGATTCTAATATAGATTGTCTTTTTTTTATTGATTATAATGTGACTTAAAATGTAAGCAGATCCTTGGCTGGCCTTTTAAAATACGATTAAATGCGTAGGTCTTATCTAATCGGAACGATTGTTCTAAACGATTTTCTGAGTTGCGCTGACCAATGTGTTTCTCTGTGTGGTTTCTCGGACTAAATTTAAATCGTCTTGTGTTCAGACACCAGATGGCAAAGCAAAAGTGACCAACAGGACATCATATTGTTCAACAGCAGCTACCTCACACCATTGCACTCTCCAAAAACATCCACCAACCTTTTCAAACTCCAAGCGGATTGGATTGACAAACTTTGTGGAGATGTATTCTGCAGCATGCTGACCTAATTTCATGGCTTCCTCGACTGTGCTGGCACCGAATTTGACCATGACTGAGTCTGTATCGCCATAGATGACCTGGAAATGGCACAGAAAGTCATATTTTTATTGTCAACATTCATACAGGGAACAAATTTTACAGTCAGACTCAAAAAGTAATCACTATCATCACACCCTGTTTCATCTGAAACATCAGGTCTAAAGTTATGTTCAACTTCTCCATGAACTTCTGTTCCGCCTTATTCTCTATTTCACTTTCATCAGCTGTAAAATCTAGCGGAAAATTATGCTTGTTCGTCCACTTCAAGACTTTAGTCCTGGCCCAGAACTTGAGTTTTGTTTGCACATCTGTTGAAGGTTTGGCTTATTTCCACGTCGACTTCAAATTAAACTCCCCTAATTAGTAGACTTCTATGACACACTGGTTAGGATGCAGTGGGTCAATGCCCACGCCCCCCCCCCCCACCCCTCTATCCCTGCAGCGAAGCCCTGGAACCCACTCAGGGATTATTCTGTTCAAATCTATTCACGTCATACATGTCTTTTGCCTGACTTTCAAGGCAGAAGGTTTCTTTTTTTAACTGATATTGGATACCATTTTGATCCTGCCAAATATGGATAGGAAATTTCCTGAGAAATAAATACTGCACAATATTGAATACATCATCTTTCAAGTATATATTGATCTAAACATAAAATGCTAGCACAATATGACCATGGACAGAAGTGTAAAAATGGCTTTAAGAAAATGGTTATGAAGTAATGAACTCATCATTATGGAATGACTTTAACAGTGCACAGTACGCTAACCTTGGCATTGTGGGCGTAGCCATTCTCCTTGTTGTAAGTCTCCTCCACATGTTGCTTGGTCATTTCAATCATGAGACGACCAAACGCTGTCACACTCTGTGGAACATTGCAAAGTCCAGTCTGGTCACATGTACACTTTCTATCACAACCAATTACTAAGGTGACAGTAAGTAATACATTTCACGTGAAACAGCATCAATTTCTGTCCTTAATTAATGTATTTATGCTTGTTTGGTAGAATCATTTTCCCCTGTGTATAATGTAGAGCAGTGGTTCTCAGCTTTTTTCGCTGCTGCACCCTTGTCGTGTTAAAAAAAAAAAAAAAAATCGCAGCACACCAACACTTAAAGCGGTTTGAATACTTAGGAAAAATAAAAGCACAGTGCAAATTTATTGTTCAGTTGTCTTTAATGCGATGAATGAAACTGTCTGGATAAATTTGTCCATTATTTCCTTTTTGTTTATTGTAAGTTAAGTTAACTGTACCTTCAAACCACTTAAAGATTGCTCCTGTATCTGTTTTTTAATGTGAGCGTACGTTGAGAATGTACTGCAGCCTTGCCAATATTAGCATTGTCTTCTGAATATACCTGCATCCAGAACTCTTCTTGACTTCCTTCATGGTTTTTCTGTTTTAAACTGCTGTCTTCGCTGATCTCAAGCATCCAGAACTCTTCTTGACTTCCTTCGTGGTATTTCTGTTTTAAACTGCTGTCTTCGCTGATCTCAAGCATCCAAAACTCTTCTTGACTTCCTTCGTGGTATTTCTGTTTTAACTACTGTCTTCACTCATCTCAAGCATCCAGAACTCTTCTTGACCTCCTTCGTGGTATTTCTGTTTTAAACTGCTGTCTTCACTCATCTCAAGCATCCAGAACTCTTCTTGACCTCCTTCGTGGTATTTCTGTTTTAAACTGCTGTCTTCGCTGATCTCAAGCATTCAGAACTCTTCTTGACTTCCTTCGTGGTATTTCTGTTTTAACTACTGTCTTCACTCATCTCAAGCATCCAGAACTCTTCTTGACTTCCTTCGTGGTATTTCTGTTTTAAACTGCTGTCTTCGCTGATCTCAAGCATCCAGAACTCTTCTTGACTTCCTTCGTGGTATTTCTGTTTTAAACTGCTGTCTTAACTCATCTCAAGCTTCCAGAACTCTTCTTGACCTCCTTCGTGGTATTTCTGTTTTAAACTGCTGTCTTCACTCATCTCAAGCATCCAGAACTCTTCTTGACCTCCTTCGTGGTATTTCTGTTTTAAACTGCTGTCTTCGCTGATCTCAAGCATCCAAAACTCTTCTTGACTTCCTTCGTGGTATTTCTGTTTTAAACTGCTGTCTTTGCTGATCTCTAGCAGATTTTGAAAAATGTTTGATTATTGTTGTGGCACCCCCGGCATACGCTTGTGGCACCTAGTTTGAGACAGCTGCTATATAGTATGTGTGATGACGTATGTGTGTGTCTTGCTTGCCTCCTCTCTTTCTCAATGCTCTATGAAAAACCACTGTTTGCGAGAATCTAGTGATGACTAAATATCTGCAACTATTTCTGCACTGTGATTTAGTGGCTGGCACTGGTAGCAGAGTTGGTTGACATATTCTGTGGGAGTCCCTAAAGTCTAGACACTTGGGCAAAAATAAATTTTTTCAAGAAATGAAATTTAACAATATTTTATTCACTTGAAACATGGCTTTTAATATGATTTTCATCCTTTGCAATGCAAAGGCTGAGATGCGCTTTGCAAAACTGACGTTTGTTTGTTTTAGTATCCAGAAGCCATGAGTTGTTAACCCTTAGGCTCGGTATTATGGATATCGCAACCTTTTGGCCTTGATTCCATTGTAAATACCGTAAATCTGGGAGAAAATGTGGCTTTCCTGCCTACCCCCGGGAGTAAACCCGGACCACAAGGAGTTCGTCGCCCGGTCTCCGCAAAATCCGGTTTAGCCAACTACGCTAGACGTAAACTGGCTGTTCAAAAAATTCAAATTGCCATCAACTTTAGTAGATTCACTTTTCATTTCCTATGTGTCCAGACTTTAGCGATACCTTCTCTGTCACTTGATTGTGCAGATATATGACCAATGTTAGCAGCTGGTAAGCCAATGCAGAAGCCTTTTGAAATCTCATTTATCAAAATTACCTAGAAATAAATCAACCACATCAGAGGGAAAACTGTCTTGCCAGCCTACCTGAGAGATCTCCAGACAAGGTAGTTTGCCAACCTGAGCTCCAGTGAAGCCGTACACAGAGTTGGCAGTTATCTTCAAGGCTAGCTGCCTTCCATCCAGCACCTTCTGCTTAAACGGGTCAGTCTCCTTTTTGAGGTCTGCTTTGGCTCTAAGATATTAAATAAATATAAATTACTCTAAGAAATGAAGGATTACATCTCTATATTATGATTGTGTCGTGTGCCAGTTAGTCAAGTCAGAAACAGACTATAGTTAGTCAAGTCAGAAACAGACTATAGTTAGTCAAGATTTGTTTAGCTCAAAGACAATTTTAGTTTAGGTGAAACAAGACTATACTTAAAGCTCCAATAACAGCTAAAGCTCTTGATGGCATTAAAACGTCAGAACTCCGTGCAGCACGAATAAAGCATTAACCCTGTGCGTGACACACATGCATGGCCCCCATAGTGGTCAGCTATAAGACCTGACCAAGAAGATTCGTGGTTCTTCTTCGTCGATTATTCTGCGGTTCTACGACAGTCAGTCGTTGCTTGATAAGTTGTCAATAATTGAGTTTCAATAAGTGTTCAAAATTATTCCCGATGATTCAGCTTCAAAGATGTTTCTCAATTTAACGCCAAAATGATAGTTCAAGTACTAATAAGTTTTCCTCTAATGCAGATGAGAAAAAACTCAGAATATCTTAACGTATGCAAGTAACGATAGTGTTGTACCAATATTTCCCTTAACATGTCTAGTGTGAGTGAAGACAATAGTGAGACCATAGCTCTTTAACCAGGTTTTAAGACCAGCAAGGTTGGTTCAGGAGGCAGCAGTGTAGTCTGAGTAAAGAGCAGCCTGATTTGGGCACATGAAGCTGTTTGGTACAACTCATGAGTCTCATCCCATCTCGTTCAGCTGCGTGATTTTGTATTGGTTCCCACAAGTTGTCCTATGTTCTATGGGTATTATAAGATGTCTCCCTTCGCTGTCTATATATAGCGTGCCAAGAAGTGACTTAGGTTTGTTCAACGAGGTCGACACACTTTCTCCCAGATAAAACTGTGCAGCTTTCTCTTTGCAACCCTCTTTTCTGTGAATTAGTGTCATTTCTGGAATGTGTTGTTGTGATTAGGTCTCAGGCACCACAGGCTGCTGTGTGCACGGAAAAAAGTACTTCCTCAGTTGCAGAACTGTTCAATAGCACCCCCCCCCCCTTTTTAACCGACAGATTATACGTCTCCTCACAGACTGTTTGTGGCATAAGACAGTAAGAACATTATTTCATCTTTGTAATGATCAAGAAAATGTGTGGTGAATTGTCTAATTCTGACAAAAATATTAATTAGGAATATAAACACTGGCAGAATCAATCAGATTTCACAGAACAACAATTAAAACTTACTTTTTTCTGGCTGACAGCAGGTGCTCCAAAATTTCTGGCAACAGTCCTTTTCTAACAGAAGCTTTGCAGAAATAGTTGCCAGATGGGGTTTTGATAAACTGGTCTTCGGTGAGTCTGTTTTTTTTTTTAAAGAAAACAATGGATAAAGAATATAAGCGGCAACTTTTGAGTCCACAAAAACACTTCTCTAACTGCAGATTCTACTTGCCAAATACTAAAAAGGAAACAAAATATGTAGTCGGATGACAACCTTTCAACTCATAAGAATCTTTAATACCCATCCTTTTGATTAGCTGAAAGTGTACCCTAAGAAACCAGATAAAGAGAAGAAGAAGCAAAAGAATTGTTGAATATGAGTCTTTTTTTTTTTTTAAAGATCCAGGGGAGTGAAACCTACAACCACTAAGCAGAGGCTCGACAAGCCAAAATCTTGGTATTAACAGGGTGAGAGGGTTAGGTTCAATGCAGAACTAATGCCTGGCCTGAAGCATACACTAGAATCATCAACATATGCTCAAATGTTACTAAATATTGTAACACTTTCTCAAGGTCCATTGTGTCAAGAGGTTGTCAAAAAAATTATATAAATATGTTTGTTGTGCACAGATATGACACAATAATAAACAGTTTTTTGTTTGCACTCACCAGCTGTAAACCCCCGGTGGACAGACCGGGTTGTTCATCCATTGCTGGTTTTTGGATTTGTCTTAGGACCTGAGTTTTGCACGTGCATCCGTTTTACAGATCTTGCATGTTTGTATGCAGCCTGTTGGTTCCTTGCCTCTCAGGTAGATGTACTCCAGCTTTGAAGGAAGCTCACCATTAGTCGACTCTTGCGACATGCTTGTTGGGGAGGCAGTGTGTCTGTTCTTGTTTTTCTCACACTGGGACCCCGAAACCCACACAGGGATAATAATCAGTAATACATTTAATGTTTAGCTATGCGGTTTCACATTTGTTGCAAGAAAATAAATTTGATTTCAACAAGAAGAGTTTTTACATCTACTTCTTTGAGTTTTCAAGACATGAGATACTAAAGACTTCCTTGGTGTTTCTCCAGTTTCAAGAGTTACCAACAGCTCATGTATTCTTCTTGTGTAGAATGTTCTTTATAATGTTGAAATGTAGTCAGAATAAAATCTTTCTGATCTTACTCTTCAAAATTTACTAATTTTTAAATTTGAATGTAAGATCATTGCAACTCCGAGACAACAATAAGGTTGATAAGAGTAAAACACTGCAACATTCATTCTTCCTCCCGTTACTTCCCAATAGGGCATAGGCCCTAACCATCCCATGCCAAATCATTCAATCCTTTTCTATTGCATGCAACTCACACCATGTCCTCCCATTTTTTTTTTCAATTCCCCTCATTAGCAAGATTGGGGGGGGGGGGGGGGCAACGTTGCTTTTATTTCTACACATTTGTGGGTTCCAGTGCAAAGATATTCTAATTATACTGTTCTCAGGTTTTCTCAGAAGTATGTCCTATCTAACTCTAGTGTCTTTTCTTCCCCTCTTGACTCACTGGAGACTGCAACACTGAGATAACAATACAGGCTGTCAAGAGGAGATAACAGTAACATTTGGATAACAACAACAACTGTAGTCACCCCTCATGTTTGATTGCGGCTGGATTCAGCAGTGATGTGTAGCAGAGGTTGTGTGCCATCATGATCGATGGGTATAGGGAAGCAAAATCCAATGTGGCAATTGGAACATCATAATAGCTGTGGAAATAAATTATGCATTCAATAAACACAACAATATATCTACTAACAGTTTCATACCTCCCCCATGCCATGCATTACAGACATACAAACAGTAGTCTTTAATCCTTTTGTCCCATAAAAATCTAAACAAAAAATAAACATAATAACTTTTTCCCACAGTGCATTAGAAAGAAACTTTCAAATAACTTTTTGAAAGTCTACCCACAGAAATTAAAGGAAGAGAAAGAGCAGAAGCAGTTGAAGTCTTGGTTAGTTTTTATACAAATCCAGGGGGTTGAAACCAATGACGACTGAGAAGACAGCAAGTCTGCTAGACATTGCACTGCACTACAAGGCCCCAAATTCACAGACAAAATGCTTAGTAAAACCATAACACCAATCAAATCAGCTTTATATTAGGAGAAAGTAAAGTAAAGTAAAGATCCCTTTACACGCCCTTATGCGCATCGGGCATATGGAAAGAGCACCCATATTTTTACAGACCAATCGGCACTCTGTGGGTAATGTGGTCAGCATTACGCCGGACGTCTTTACTTTCCCAGGACAGCCCATCCTGGTACCCATTTGAGGCTGGGTTGACCTGCGATGTCCCATACCACGATAAAAATCCACGCAGCCCGCGGTGGGTTTCGATCGCGGTACGTTGGATTACGAGTCAGACTCGCAACGCCTCAGCCACGGACGCCACTTATATTAGGAGAAGTAATTACTAAATACAAGCAGAGCAAATAATTAACTGATTTCGCTCCCTCTGACCTAACAAAACAAAAACAAGATAGCCAGTTGGAGCATCAATGTCACAAAAACCAACATATCCATTTTTTTACCCCACTATCTATTTTTTGCAAAGTAAATATAATTATATCCAACATCTCTACATGCTATGTAGCTGCAACTAATACCACAAAGATATATAGGCATATTCACCACTACCCCAAGACAGCATGCCATTTTTTTTTTTGAACGACAACTCAAGATCTCGGCACTTAAGGGAGGATAAAGTTAGTATCAATATATTTGTAGGATTTGTGGCTAGAATAAGTAAAGAAACTCATACCACATATTCGGCATCTGGTGACAGTCTCGCCTAATTTATTCTGTCAGCTAACTGGCACTCCGTAGGTGATGCGGTCAACATCATACTGGCTCTGGTATTTTCAAGGACACTTCCTTGAGCCCATTTTAGGATAGGCTGATCCAGACACTCAGTTTTATTTTACAACAGGTGTGTAGAAGGAACAGTAATCACAACATAACAGCAGGTGTGTGTGTATGTAAGTATGACTTTTAAACAGGTAGCATTTATGTATCAAAACATACACTGTGATTTTAAAATATTAACTTGCATGATTTGATTAGCATGATTAAACTGAATATTTGAAATATAACAGCACAGTTTGCTTTTCTTGATATACAGGGACATAGAGAACTGCTTGAAACAGAGACAGGAATCAGACCATACTGTAATAATTTACAACACAATGTATGACAATTTGTTTTTTAGATGAACATAACAGTCAAAGTATACAGAGGAATGTTGATGAAATTAGAACACTAGAGAATATGGTGGCGACCCACACACAAAAGGTACACAATAAAATAAAGAAAATAGAAAAAAAGAAAAAGAAAATTAAAAGGATAAAGAACTAAGCATTTAATGAATATTTAAAAAAAATAATAATAAACATGATATGAACAAATAAGATACGACAAAGAACTAGTACCCCTTGATAGGCTCGATGACTGTTGCCCCTTCATACTCATCTCCAGTCTCCACTTTATGAGCAGGTAGAACCAGATCTTGCTCCTTTCCCTAGACATAAAATCATAAATAAATCATAAATGATCAAGTACAGGTTCATGTTCAACAGACAAGGGATGTCTCAAAAGTATAGAAATAATCTGCTGCTGGCACATCTTCAAGATGAACAACAAAGGGCTTAGATTGAATCATTTGCTGACACAGGTAATTTTTTCACATTCATTGGCTCTAAGCTTCTTCAAAAAGTTCTGGTTGTCTGGCAACTTTTGGACTTTGGTCTTGAGTTTTGCATGCACATCTGTTTTACAGATTTGACTTACTGTAAACAGACTGCTGGTTCCTCACCTCTCAGGCAGATGCACTCTGACTTTGAAAGAAACTCGCCTAGCCAGTTGCCTTGTATGACATGCTTGTCAGGGAGACAGTGGGTCTATTTCCTGACAGATTTATAAATTTATATTATAGAAACAAGTAGTGTTTGACAGATCTGATTGAGTTAACAAGTCTAATTATTTAAGGTCCGACAATTAAGTAATGAGACTGATTTTTTTTATGGCTAAGACACAAATGCCATCTATGATTCACAGAATTGCATCTAAAGATGCAACCTTCATCTATTATCTGGCAACTTTCCATCGCCGCCCGATAAGCAGACAACAGACAAGCCGCGATTTTGTTAACCTAGTCAGAGGTATATTGTTATGTAATCAGCATGGAGCAAAAAAGCTGACATTAAATTGTTTAAAACTTAGAAAAAGTGCAATTGCTACAGTTGAATCGATGTGACAAGTTTATGGGGATAATTGTTTTTCTCATGCACACATTTTTAGCTGGTATTCACGGTTCAAAAATGGTGTGGATGCTACTTGCCCTGGACACCCAATTTCTGTTTGTAATGAAGAACTTATTGTGAAATTCCGAGAACAGTTACAAGAAGATCGTTGTTCGACTGTGAGGATGATGATAGATGAATTTGGTGTTAATACAGAGACTATACGTACAATTTTAGTGGAAGATTTGGGCAAGAAAAAAGTTGCTTGCCGGTTTGTATTCAACACCTGTCAATTTGTTTATTCTTCGTGACAATGCACTGGCTCAAAGGGCTGTAGTTGTACAGACATTTTTGGCTCCAAAACAAGTGTATGTTCTGAACTATCTATCATATTACCCAGATTTGTCTCCCTGTGATTATTTTCTATTTACAAAATTAAAGTTGCCATTGAAAGGAGGCTACTTTGACGATAATGATGACATACAAAGGGCAGTAACATCGACTTTAAGGACCATAACAACAGATGAACTACAGAGGTTGTTCCAGTGTTTGTTAAATCGTGTCACTTGCTGTATCAATGAACAAGAGGCTTACTTTGAATAAAATACAGGTTATATCTTCAACTGTTGATTATTTTAATTTTTATGGAATTAGTCTCATTACTTAATTGTCGGACCTTGTAGATCTAAGATTTCTAAAACATAATTTGCTAACAGACTGAAGACAGATTAATATTACAGAAACAATTTGTTGAAAGATTTATAAAAATAATTTTACACAGACAATTACTGACAGATTAATGATAGATTAACAGATAATTTATGACAGATTAAACCAAAGAAACAACTCTAATGACACAAGGCTGATTTGGTCAAGGCCCTTTGGGAACAACAGAATCAGTAGAAAAACAAGATTATTATGGCCTGGAGAGAATGAGGCACCTGGGTGTAACCAGGGGGTCTGGCCGGCTCACTACTCAGAGTAAGGCAAGACGGACATATAACCAGATTGTGACCAGTACCATCAGTATTGGAACTCTGCGCTGGCTGCTGAAGATGAGAACAGAGCACACATCCACATGGGATTGCCCCGAGTGCTGTGATATCAATACTTGACTCAACTCAACAACTCCAATGATAGATTTATGATGTGTAAAACAGATCACTTGTCAGATTTATGCTTATGATTACCCATAACTTATTCCTGAGAAGTATATGTCATAGTTTCTCCTTGTATACTATTTTCACAAAAGATATTAAGATGGTACAAATGTTCCACAGCAGACACTGCACTTATTTTAGAGGGATTTTCCAGGATGGCTGCAAATCAAGAAACTACTATTACTGGTTTTCATTTGTACAAAAGTCTTTAAAAACACTGCATGCCCAGGAGACCTATTTTCTCCCATTCCTGAAAACTGTCTAGGAATGCAAAGTTCCAAGAAAGAGAACTGACCACCACAATCTCATTTATCATAGCCTAGGTAAGGTAATTGCAGTTCCACCTTCATAGCAAAAGGGTCATCCAATGGTTGCTTCCTATCTGAAGCCAATCAAAACCACAAAGAATGCCTGTCACTGTCTCTTGTAAAAACAAGATTGACGCAGACTGCAGTCTTAGTAAATCTCACAGCGTACAAGAACATTAAATGCATAAAGCTGCAGCCAGAAGTGCCAACACAAGCAGTCCAACACTAGAAATGCAGTTCCTCATCGATGACACAACAGCTACAACAGATCAGCAATTACACACTCAATAAATAGCATGAAGTAACACAAGTTCTCTGGCAACAGACCACTCGCCATTTTCTGAATTTGCAGTTCACGCCACAAATCAAGTTTGGCAGTCGAAGAGAATTCAAAATTAAATGCATAGCTCACAGTGCCACACCATGTACTCAACTCAGTAGGTGGGCAACGGAACCAAATCCTTTAAGTCGAAATATGGAGGAAAAGTAACAGTTAACTATTCTGAAAGCAAAAACTTGCCACAACTAAAAGCAGTAAAATTGCCTATCCACCATATTGGCCAAAAGCCCCAACAGCCTAGAATATGTAACAGCCTAGCACTTCTCACTTCAGCAGCAGCATCAGCTAAGGGACACACTTTTACCTATTATGTCCTACACAATAATTGTAAATCCTACCTTTCTTAGCAGCTGTGACATGACCTTGATCTGTTGCCCTCTGGACAGTAGGAAGGGCAGGGGTACACCAGTCACACGAGCCATCTCCATGTAGTTGATGACACACATCAGTTTCTCCAGAAGCCGCAGAGGCAAGATGGCATCCTTCAAACAGTATACAGCCAGTCTCCGGCGTGTCTGCTCATTCCCATTCTGGTCAGTGAAAGAAGAAAACTAGGACTTTAAGTCAAGTGTCTGAATCTGCCATTCAATACCCATTCAACAGCATTTAGAATATATCTGTACGTGCTCTGTTTTCCCTAGAAGACGTCAAAGGGTATGGTTCTTATATTTTTAGTTGGTTACAGTCGACAGAATATCCATTCCATTCCTTTTAAAAACAACAGCAAAAAATTCGACCACATTCAACCTGCCGTTGGCAACGAATCACCAAAGTCTCTGGTTATATTTGTCGTCAGACAGAATATCCTCGCTATGCAACAAACCATTCATTCCATAAGTGCTCGGAACCCCTCCTCAATATATATCTCAGTGTGTAGCGGCCAACAACAGCCGTTCTGAGTTATTATCTTTCGGCCTTCTGGATAGTGTTCTTGTCTGGCTTCATCCCCTTGTCATGTCATCACAATCAACATCACTGCACAATGGGCATTCCCCCTGCTCAGTCCACTCGTGCAGCAGCCACTCCAGGACACTTTGATTTACTGTTCCCATGAGAAGTTGATTATAGTGTCTCTTGTCTAGATCTTGAAGAGGGCAGAAATGTGCTTCACAATGCTTTACTCCTAGGTCAGGCAATTGTGCTAACATCAGCATCTAGTTGGTTATTCATTTATGTAAACTCCTTTCTTCACCATTTACCTGAAGACTAACATTTTATCAACTAATTTCCCTTCAGCATTTTGAGCCCGTGAGGTTCATTCCTGCAAATATTACCTGCCTCCATTTATCTCTGTGATTAATTCTCTTTTCCAGATGGTGATTCCAAGTGTCTGCATGTATCTCTCAAAAATCTTCTTGGTCTGCCTCGTGGTCTAGGATCATTCAAATTTATTGTGTACAGTTTTTCCCTTTCTGCCATTATCTCTTTATGCCCCAGTTATTTCAGTCTATTAGCCCTCATAATGCCACTGATCAATGATGATTTAAACAGATCCACTCCAATAAAAACTTTCCTGGAGATTGTAATATATGATCACCTCAAATGAATATTGTATTATGTTATACACCCACCTGAAGATCTGTAATGATGGAATGTTGGACATCCTCTTTCTGTTCTTGAAGAAAATGGAAGGAGACAGCATTCAAGGTGTAAGAGCGCAGTTTGTAGTCTCGCAATAAAATCTGGTTGGAAGAAGACATTACAATCAAACATTGCTTTCAAACAGACTGGTGAATAAATTCTTGAAAGGCACTAGCATAACACCTTTTTACACCCACAGACTGGCAAAACAGATAATGTTGCGTAAACCACCTGACGTAACCAAAAACAAAAGTAGATAGCAGTTTATTTATGATACCAATGATATCAAGTTAGTTTTCAGTTAAAGGAGTTTTTGCTGCTGTTTAGGTGTTAGAAAAAATCTTACACATCATGTGTGAAATATGCTGGCTATTAATCAGTTAGCCGACAGATTATCCTCATTGCATATCAGACAAAGTCTATAAGCTCTTGGATCCCATCTTCGTGTGGCGACTGATAACACCAGTTCCGTGTTGATTTACTATTCTTCTTTAGCTACCTGCATAGCGTTCATGTTTGGCGACACCTCTTTTGACCTTAAGTTCTTGTAGTCTTATAAGTGTTGCCGATTCAACGTCGTCTCCTAAATCATTCTCTCGTCCAGCCTGCTTGAGAGCATTGAGAATGTTGGCCCAGTCCTCTGCTTTTTCTGTACGTACCTTGGCCCAGCCAGCAAGCCAATCTGCTCGTTCATTCCCTCTTACCCCTGAATATCCTGGGACAAAAATGAAATTAATTCCTATCAGACGAGATTTCCTTAGCGACCACAGCGATTTTCTGCGAATCCATCCTATGTTCTATCTTCTTGAGCATGCTCATGAACCACTTCAAAAGCATGCATAGGAAAAATGCTGTGTCTCTAGATACATCACTGCTTTTGTTGCCGCCATCACCTCCATAGTCAGACTATTTGTAGTCGAGACAACAGCCCTGCTTCCTTATCTTAGTTTTCCCTTCGACCAGAACCGTAAAAGCTGGCTATGAAACAATGTGGTGTCGGAATCATACAGCTGCTATATGATAATGTAGAAAGTTCTGGCAGCTCATCCGGACACTCCTGCAACCCACGGGTCAGCTGTAGACCACCGATTTAAGAAGAATGACTAATATAACTATTTTCATATGTTGTAGTTATCCTTTCTTCTTCTTCTTCTTTTGCGTTCAGCCTTAAAAGGGTGGCTGGCAGTTTGTACTGTGATACACTTCTTCTTCTCCATAGCATTCACTAGCTGTAAACTCCAGCAGACAGTTCTGGTTGTTCGTCCATTGTACTTACACTTTTTCTACACCATAGCATTCACTAGCTGTAAACTCCAGCAGACAGTTCTGGTTGTTCGTCCATTGTACTTACACTTTTTCTACTCCACAGCCTCCACTGGCTGTAAACTCCAGCAGACAGTTCTGGTTGTTCATCCATTGTACTTACACTTTTTCTACACCATAGCATTCACTAGCTGTAAACTCCAGCAGACAGTTCTGGTTGTTCGTCCATTGTACTTACACTTTTTCTACACCATAGCATTCACTAGCTGTAAACTCCAGCAGACAGTTCTGGTTGTTCGTCCATTGTACTTACACTTTTTCTACTCCATAGCATTCACTAGCTGTAAACTCCAGCAGACAGTTCTGGTTGTTCGTCCATTGTACTTACACTTTTTCTACTCCATAGCCTCCACTAGCTGTAAACTCCAGCAGACAGTTCTGGTTGTTCGTCCATTGTACTTACACTTTTTCTACACCATAGCCTCCACTAGCTGTAAACTCCAGGAGAAAGTTCTGGTTGTTCATCCACTACTCGACTATGGTCTTGATCTAGAAGGAGTTTTGCATGCACATCTGTTGTATACATCTGATTTATCTATATGCAGACTGTTGGTTTCTTGCCTCTCAGGCCGACTCACTGTGAATTTGAAGGAAACACCCTTAATTAGTCACCTCCTATGACAAGCTTAATGTGGAGCGGTGGTTCTGTACTTTGTTTTCCAAAATGGATCCCCAGAACCCGTGCACAGACTGTGATAATAAGGCCCTGATATTTGCCGCTTTCAGCTCAACAACCCACTTTCAGCTAAGTTCTAATCAGTGGCCTTTTACAACATGACCGTAAGGGGGACAGTGTGTTCAACCTCTACCCCAAACAACCTAAACCAAAATCCACACAGGAAATAGTTATCATTTGTAAAGTGGGGGAAGATCGGAAAACTCTAAAACAGCTTTCATGATCTATTCAGTGAGATATAAATGTCCTTGCTTCAACTTATCATTACCATCATCAAGAGTCTCCGCATGCGTGCATGTGTGTAAACAATGTCCACTGGAAGCTATCTTACTAAAAATAACAAATCAATCTGACCGCCCATTAAATAAAGGTTCTACTAAATTACCAATCTGCACAACAAAAAATGTTGCAAAATCATGCAAAATCTCAAAACTGGAAGAAATACACTGGTAAGAAATGTTTGAACATGGAGAGAACTTGCAGAAATATTAGAACAAAAAGAAACGTGTAATTACCTGTAGTAAATCAAACTGTACTCTTCCTTCTATGTTGACGACCTTATTTTCTCGTTTTCCCATCTGTTTGCTCTGAATCATTGAGTCCTTCAGCACTGACTTTATGTCCTTTACTCTACCCAGGAAGAAGAAATCTTTCACCTAAAACAAAACAAAAGAATACAGGGCTGGTTATGGTTTATGATAAAAAATACTATTTCTTGATCTATGAAAGGTTTAAACAAGGCAGAAAACATAAAGACAAAATGCTGAGATAATGTTACAACACTGCTCCCTGAAAACATAAAGACAAAATGCTGAATTAACGTTACAACAACTGCTCCCTGAAAACATAAAGACAAAATGCTGAGATAATGTTACAACACTGCTCCCTGAAAACATAAAGACAAAATGCTGAGAAAATGTTACAACACTGCTCCCTGAAAACATAAAGACAAAATGCTGAGATAATGTTACAACACTGCTCCCTGAAAACATAAAGACAAGATGCTGAGATAATGTTACAACACTGCTCCCTGAAAACATAAAGACAAAATGCTGAGATAATGTTACAACACTGCTCCCTGAAAACATAAAGACAAGATGCTGAGATAATGTTACAACACTGCTCCCTGAAAACATAAAGACAAGATGCTGAGATAATGTTACAACACTGCCCCTAGAAAACATAAAGACAAGATGCTGAGATAATGTTACAACACTGCCCCTAGAAAACATAAAGACAAGATGCTGAGATAATGTTACAACACTGCCCCTAGAAAACATAAAGACAAGATGCTGAGATAATGTTACAACACTGCCCCTAGAAAACAAAAGGCCAAAATGCTGAAATAATGTTACAACACTGCCCCTAGAAAACATAAAGACAAGATGCTGAGATAATGTTACAACACTGCCCCTAGAAAACATAAAGACAAGATGCTGAGATAATGTTACAACACTGCCCCTAGAAAACATAAAGACAAAATGCTGAAATAATGTTACAACACTGCCCCTAGAAAACATAAAGACAAAATGCTGAGATAATGTTACAACACTGCTCCCTGAAAACATAAAGACAAAATGCTGAGATAATGTTACAACACTGCTCCTAAACATTTTTAAAAGTAAAGTGTCATCCTTTACAGGATGCTGCAGAACCTAGCATTTTTGAGCTTTTTATTTTCACCAGGCAACTTTACGTGCAGTAATTTGCCACTCTTTCCTGAACCGTTTGCACCAGACACCATATTCAAAATCACTGCAAAGCAGCCTGGTGCCAAATCACCTGTAGCTGAAACTGAACCTGGCTTATCTGAACAACAAAATACATTAGCCAAAATCATTCCCTTGACATGAACTCAGGATTATAGGGAAAGGTTATTATCAGGAAGAAATTGTCGCAGATGTTACTCTACTGTATACAGTATGTTAAGCTCTATCACTTCACACACTCAGCCGGCTCTCTAGCGTAGTTGGCTAAACCGGATTGCGCGGAGACCGGGCGACGAACTCCTTGTGGTCCTGGGTTCACTCTCGGGGGTAGGCAGAAAAGCCACATTTCTCCCAGATTTGCGGTATTTACAATGGAATCAAGGCCGAAAAGGTTGCGATATCCATAATACCGAGCCTAAGGGTTAACAACTCATGGCTTCTGGATACTAAAACAAACTTCACACACTCACAGCAGTGTAGACACAGAAGTAAGGGAACTGATAGATCAGCATTCAGACCCAGAAGATACCATCATCTACACAGATGGATCTGTGAAGCGCGGATCAAGGTCAGCATGGGCATACACAGCGCAAAGAAAGGGGAAAACAATACATGAGGACAGCGGCGCTTACCAGACAACCACGTCAAGCATGACAATGGAAATAGCCGCTGCTTCTAGAGCTTTAGCATGGGTATCCGAGCAAACCGCCACACAGGTAGTAATTGTCTCAGACTCAATGAATATGCTTCAGAAGATAGCAACAGGCAGTATGCGCTCTGAATGGATAGAAAGCATCAGGAAATCGCACTTAACCTCCGTAACCTGGATCTACACACCGGGTCATGCGGGCGTGAAGGGAAATGAGCGAGCAGACCAACTGGCAAGCACTGCACTAATGATTGCAGGAAAAAGTATGGACAGAGCAGACATAGTCAACGCTGTACGAACCGGGCTAGTGGAGAATGAGGAATCCCTGACACTAACACGATTGCGTGACATGGAGTTAAGCATGGTGATGCACGTCTTTGCCGTCTTCGAGGCCGAGAAAGGAGACAATATAACCAGCTTCTCATGGGGACAATTAGTAGAAGTACTTTAGAGTGGCTGCTGCTTCGGAGAACTGAGCACGCATGGGTATGCCCAATGTGCAGTGACATTAATTGTGATAACAGAACATAAAATAACATCTTAGTAGAGAGTCAGCAGTACGAAACCCAAGTTCAAGGTGTCTCCTTCGTGCCAAAGAACTGCATGGCTGTTGGGTGAACAGTCGTTAACGAGGGCAGGCAGGTCGTTGTAGGGGCGACGCCTGCTGGTGGATGTAATGTCCTAAGTCCCTTCCCCAGCTAATAATGAGGGTACTGCTGGGGTGACCGTTTATTAACCCTCATATAATTCTTCCGGTCAAAATGGACGCTAGGTACGGCCACCTTTTTTTTTTTTTTTTTTTTTTTTTAAAGCCGTGGCAAATATTTTTCCAGACGGTGGCCGTTGCATTTTTGCTCCATTTGTAGACTGGAAGGATGTAGTTTCGTCGCCCAGCTTCTGAGTTGAGTGCATGGCGTGACACTGTGAGCTGCGTTTGTTTTTCGTTGGCACAGGAGCGGAGCATGTGTGGGGTGACCCGTTTGCTATGAAGCTGAAACTAGGATTACCAGATTACCAGTGTCTATTAGGAGAATACTTTTGCTGCTGTGTTTTATTCAGACACAAGTTAAGCTAAAGAACATAGTATCCAGAAACATCTCATTGATAAAACAGTTGACATGCTCACCTTCAGATGATTGGATCTGTTGATGAGATAGGGGAAGTCAAAGTTCTGTATGTTGTAGCCAGTGACAATGTCTGGATCCACCTCTCTGAAAAACGATGCCCACTTCTGCAAAGACATTTATTAAATAAAGTTATCTTTTAACAGGTAAGCTTATCTCTTAAATTACACAGTACTGACCTTACTGATAGATTTTATCTTTATGTGCACCATCTTCTTTCTTTATGCTTACACTATCTTATACAGTGGAATTCCAATATTTGTCTTTTTTTTTATAAATTTGTCCTGTCTTTTCATTCACATTTTGTTTGAAATTCACCCGAAAATTCAATATTCATCCTTCCTCCAATGTGGCCGGTGAGTCATGAGACGAGAAAAGGAACCCTATCCCGGAAGTTTGCTATGCAAGATGACACCATCCCCCTTATGAGCAATATAAAGGGAATCTAACCTTCAATCATGCCTGTACAAAGACACTTTGGAGATCAAAACCTATTCTTCAATTTAAAGAAAATAAAAATAATGTCCACAGATAAAACTGGCTGTCACCCAAACAATAACAATAACTCATGAAGAAATTGAAAATGTTACCAGCTTTGAATATTTAGGATCCATAATAAGCAACAATGGAGACAGCATTAAAGGTCTATGGTTAAGCACCAGCAAAGAAATCAAAGTCACAATTTTGAGAGCATGAATGTTTCCTGTAGCAGCATCTGAGTCGTGGACTATCTCCCAGTCCTTAAGGAAGAAAGACTATCTCCCAGTCCTTAAGAAAGAAAGACTATCTCCCAGTCCTTAAGGAAGAAAGACTATCTCCCAGTCCTTAAGGAAGAAAGACTATCTCCCAGTCCTTAAGGAAGAAAGACTATCTCCCAGTCCTTAAGGAAGAAAATCAGTGCTTCTGAGCTGAAATGCTATAAAAAGATTCTCACAATACCATGGACAAATAAGAGAAGAAATACTGGCATTCGAAAAGATCTGAACATCAAGGAATACTGTCTAACAATAAACAGAATCTTGTCTCAGAAGCTGAAATATTTTGGCCAGATCAAGTGCCACAGCGGATTGGAAAAAATAATAGGAGACATGGCTTACTGACTGGGATGTCATGGTTACAAGCTTCTGAAAGCAACAATGCTAATATCTCTGCTTTGCTTTAGCCATCCATTTAATAAACACTTCAACAAAAACTGTGCTTTAGCCATGTATTTAATAAACACTTCAACAAAAACTGTTGTGCGGGAAGCAAGTGACAAACCTGTAGCAGCTCTGTCTCAGTTTCATATGACAAGACCTGGGAGCCAACTACTGGAGCACAGGCCTTCAGTGTGAACACATTCTTGATGAATGGCTCCGTCTCTCCCTGCCTGATCACCATGTTGGCTATCTGAATCACTGGGTCCTTGTTGGCTTCTGGGAAAATTCCTACAGAAACAAGCAGACAATGTGTTAAGGTCTTACTGTCTTCAATCATGACTTTTCTTATGATTTAACCCTTTTCCACACCTTCAGGTGTATTGGGCTGATAGGGCTAGACCTATATTTTACAGACCAATCGACACTCAGTGGTTGATGTGGTCAGCATCATGCCGCCCGCCTTTACTTCCCAGGATGTTTACCTCGTATCCATTTAAGGCTAGGTCAACTTTGGAGCCAAGGTTATTTTTGAAAAAGATTCCAGCACCATTTGGATTTGAACCCACTACCTTCTGATCCACAGGCAAGCGTCTAGCCGCTAGATTACGGCGGCTTCCTGATGATCATTATGCCGTAAAATAATTTCACACATCATTTTTTCAAACACTGCACTATCTCCATAATAAGGCTGGCTACAAGACATGAACTGCTACCGATGGGAATATTATGTGGAGGGGCACAGTCTCTTCCATGGTGCAACTCTCGCTCCACTGCCTGAAAGTTATTAAACCGCCGACCACAGGAATCAAATCAGCTCCCTAGCCTCTGCGCCACACATCATTAGAAATACATTTCATTTTGCTTCAGTTTTTCCTTGAGTTATTACACAATGTACATCACTCATAACTTCTATTTTTTCCTACACACAATGCATCCCTCACAATTACCTTTTTTTTTGACACACAATACATCCCTCACAATTACCCATATTTTTTCTGACACACAATGCATCCCTCACAATTACCTTTTATATCTACACACAATAAACCACGCATAATTAGTTTCTCTTTCCGCACATAACCACAATTATCTTTTCTTGGAAAACAACACAAAACCTACAATTATTATTTTTTCCACAATACATCACCCATAATTACGTTTTCTTCCCACAATACATCGCCTATATATACCATATCTTCCCATAACACATCACCCATAATTACCTTTTCTTCCCACAATACATCGCCTATATTTACCATATCTTCCCATAACACATCACCCATAATCACATTTTCTTCCCACAATACATCGCCTATATTTACCATATCTTCCCATAACACATCACCCATAATTACCTTTTCTTCCCACAATACATCGCCTATATTTACCATATCTTCCCATAACACACCACCCATAATTACATTTTCTTCCCACAATACATCGCCTATATTTACCATATCTTCCCATAACACACCACCCATAATTACCTTTTCTTCCCACAATACATCGGCTCTATTTACCATATCTTCCCATAAGACATCACCCATAATTTCCTTTTCTTCCCACAATACATCGCCTATATTTACCATATCTTCCCATAACACATCACCCATAATTACCTTTCCTTCCTGCACATTCAATATCAAAGCTGAGGATCCTGAAAGGTGCCACCTTCGACCACTCTCCTTCTGCCGGATGAGATATAAACTCCTCCCATGACACATCCACCTCCAGCTGACAGCGTGAAGTCCTCGACCATGATCCTGAGCTTGATTCACTGCCGTGAGGCCGGGTGCGAACATGGTACTTTCCAGCGGGAAGCTCTATCCAGTTACATCCAACCACATGGGTGTCAACCATGAACCTACATCAAGAGGTGCAAAAGAAATGTAACAATAATGTAAGGATTTGTTCACAATATAACTAAATACCATCAGATGTCATTTAACCATTAGTCAGACTAACAAAAGAAAAATTATGAAATGCCCAAGGAATACTTATAAAGAGAAAAGTTCTGACCAGGTAATTGAACATAGTCCTAAGTTCAAAAGCATAATGCTTAGTCGCAATAGACAAGCTGACTTCAGAGAATGTCTGATGACTATTTATTATACTAAACATTGATGAATCTGAAGGGAACACCATATTTTCAAAGAGATGTATTACATGTCCCTTTAAGTGAAGAAATACAGAGCCTTAATGACCACCTAAGGTTTCAAAGCATATATCGAGAAATAAAATCTTGATTCTGTACATAATATGTTATTGTATGCTAATGTGTACTCTCCCACCCCAAATCTCATGCGATCCTCAGATGTGGTGAAAGTGACATATATGTATGCCGCCTGAGCTTTTATTTCTAGTGTTAAGAACAAGAAAGTTTATATTTTCTCTATGTTATTCTTTCATGTTTGCTTCTTAACCCTGTCGCCTTGGCAACGCTAACCAAAAAAACACAAGATTAATGACCTTGTGAGAATTCCCCCCCCCCCCCCCCCCCAAATACTTGGAAAAAAAACACAATTTTACACAGATCTCAAACAAATTTGCAACAACTTATTTATCTATATTTTTAATTGTTTTTTTTTAATTAGGAAAGATATATCAAGGAAGTTATCGAACAGAAGGAAACACAAGGAAACATTAAATGGAAAACATTCCCTGCGGCCTAAAAAAAACTGTATTGGTTGACTCACACTGTGACCCCATGACCTCTACCGCCTGAGGCTTATAGGAAAATCTGACAACTGCTATTTTAGCTAATATATTCATATCCTGACCTCCTAAAAATGTACGCATGCGCAAACTCTGCCAATAGCATTAACTGTCTGTCTCATAAACACATCAATCTAGACAAGTCAGAAAGTGGATCAAAAAAGGAAGTCTTGGTTTTTTTTTGCGGTTTTTCTGGGCTAAAGGGTTACAGATATTTAACCTGAAATCTTGCACACACACACAAAACTTAGCTCAAAGAGGTCGCTTACCTAACTTCAAAGTCAATATTACTTTCATATGTTTGAAAGCCATGCTGTGCATAGCCAGGACATACAAAGCCTTGCTCTAGCAGCCTCTTGCAGGGAGCAATCAGCCTCGGTAAAGCCACAGTTATCTTCAGAAAGGGGATCTTCCTGTTGCCGTGGTACCCATAAATGCCTAAAATTAGCACAGTAAAGAAAAGTAGAATTTAAGACAGGAAACACAATATAATTTAACACTGCAGAATTAGATAATCTATTTCAAGCGAACAAAAGAAGAAGAAAAAGAAGAAATCATAATTTCAGATATGGGATATTCATTGTATGACTCAAAGATTGAAATAGTTTGACCACCCAATAAGAATGAACCCTACGACAGCAAGAATGTACAACAGGTAAATAGAAACTGGGAGACACAGAAGAAGATGGATTGAAGGAGTCACTGACAAGCTAATGCTTAACAACACTACAGATACAAAGCAACTGAGTGTGCTCTGGCTCAGCAACAGAACATCTGTTAAACTGTGATAACAAAAAACAGAACAAGGCAGTGACAAAAGATTGTATGATTTAAAAACACAGGAATTCATTTCATAAAGTGCTTTATTAAATAAACTAGTAAATTAACAAACTTATTACAAAGTTATGTGACTTACCAAACTCACCATATCATTTACAAAATAAAAAACTATGAAATTACGGCAACAGCATTTTTCAAACCAATATCAAATTAGGAAAACTGACAATCAGTATACAATGGGTGACTACACAGAACAGAGTAGGACCTAATGCTAGTCTGTTGTGATGCCTGTTGACTATCACATCTTTGCCTATCCCTTAAAATGTGATGCCGAACATGACAGGTGATAAGTTAAAATTCAGAATAATAACATACTCATATAAGATCATTCTGTAATTCACAAACACTATAAATGCATGAAGCACACACATTTTAAATCCAGGAGCAATAATATACATGTGCATTCCAAACATAAAAGGAAAATCCAATTCCTCAGTAGAACAAATTTTCTACCAAAGTAGAAGTACTCACTTTCCCTCATCACATAATCCACTGCCAGAATGGCCTGGACAATACCCTCCTTGTTGGACCTCATGTCCTTTCTCACCATCGTGTCCAGTGCATCCTGGAGTAAAATCAGATGACAGTGAGTGTGTGGCTGTGTGCGTGTGTGCCTGACAACAATTTATATGAAAAAGTATCTTAACCTTAAGATGACAACTGATGTGTGAACATCACAAAAACTCCACATGAAAGATAACACCTAACCCTAATAGGATGATATGTGAACATCACAAAAACTTGATATTAAAGATATCACTTAACCTCAGGATGACACTGATAAGTAAACATCATATAAATATCACATGAAAAAGTTTCGCTTCCTTTATTACCTAGACACATCTGAACCAGTCTGGCGTGGACTCTAGAAATAAGGCTAAAACTGAGTGATTTGCCAAAATATTTATTTCTTAATTCAGGACACTGCCACATGCATTACCACTCACATCACAAATTCCATAATTTAGGAATTCAGACTGACTCCGCTGTGTATGGACTATGAATACAACTGTACAACAATACATTTTCTTCCTATTGACATACAACTTCAGGTTCTTTATATTTGTATTAATCCACACCAAGATGTGTACCCAGATGTCGCTTCAATACAGAGGAAACATAGAGGCAAAATAATGAGCTGCTTTGTTCTTATCTGTTAGGTATAAGCTGCCAATTATTTTGCCATTTAGGAGTGAGAAGCAATAAATGAGACAATAACTCTGTTACTTATACATAAGGAAAGCAGATCTAGAGGTCAGCTATGCAAGTAATGGATAGACAACAGCATCTACACAGCACATAAGGTTTGCACCAGATGTATACTTAAAAACCTGATGCTGAAAGGTAAAACAGGACGAGAAAGAGAAGAAGAAGAAAAAATAAAAATAACTTTCCAAATTTGACTCCTTGGTTAATGACAAGATTATCCTTATCCGATAAGACTAAAACAAGTTGTGAGATATAAGAGTCAAAGATGGAGAGTCTAGGCTGACTTCAAAGACAAATCCGCAAATTTTCAAGTGGCCAATTCAGGCATGCGATTATTCACACGAAAACAGGACAACTCAATTTTGGCCACATTATGAAGTGAGAGGGTCTACATAAGGCTGTGACAATGGAAAGATTAGAAGTGTAACTCACAATGGCCAATAAAGAGAGAATATGCAGGATGATTTGACAGAACGAAAAGGAATACAATCAGGTGTGAAACTGTTATCTTCAACAAATAAAACACATCTGTAAAATCACATGATCAACTATGGTGTCCAGGGTGGCTTGTGATAGAGATTTTAAAAAAATATTTATTTAAGCATCACCATCAAGTGCCTTGCTGATTTGCGTGTACAATAACGTTGGTTCACAATCAGAGATCTTCAGCAGCATGTATCAGTTTCTGTGCAGACACCTCTCCATGCAATGACACGGCAGCATGGCTTTTTTTTTTTAAAATACTTACTTTAAATGTCTCACAGTCAATCTGTCTAAATCCGGGCTGTGCTGGGGTGTAGAAGTAAGGCGTAAATCCATGAACATGCGCAAGGACACTGTTGCCCTCTTCAGTGATGCCATACATTCGCACAATAGGGCAAGGACCTTTCAAAGCTCCTGGCATTCCTTTCATGTTTGAACCTATCACAACAGAAAATCCACCAGTTATGCAGACTGACATAAATGAATAACCACTCACAATTTGTGTTAATTAAATAGAATACAATCAGAAAATGTCAGCTACAGAGCATAATAAAATTACAAATGAAGAAATGAGAAAACAGACTAAAACAGTCCACAGAATTCATTAGAGAGCAACAGATGAGATGGTTCAGCCATCTGACAAGAATGCCCTACTACCAAAACTACCACAGATAGCCATGCTCAAGACTACATAAGAAGCAAACTGAAGGGCTCGTTCCAGAGTTCTCTTCCCACTGTGACGCTGCAAGGCATTCCAAGAGTAGAGAGAAGAAGAAGCTACTACAGGAGTCCTTATCGCCCCAAGTTCTTGTTGATGGTTGGATGGATTTGGCAGCTGTTATCTACACCATAAGGTATCAATCTCAAGCGAGACCTCCTTAGTTGCTTCCTAGGACAAACCTAGCTGGTTACATCATTACCACTCTTCTGTCATTCTATAAAGTCAAGTAAAGGACCCTTGTCCCTGCCATTTGGCGTATTGAGTATATAGTGCTTGACCTGTATTTTATAGACCAGTGGCACTTCGCGGGCGATAGGATTAACATCACTTCCCAGGTGTTTGTCATTAGATTTGTTTTTGAAACTTTGCTCATGGAGGCTTGTAGCTGTAACATCCACTTATTTATTATTTTATTAATAATTCTTTGTCTCCTCGTCTAGTATAGAGTGTTGGGGAAGTTAGGGGGGGGGGGGGGGGGGGGGGGGGGGGGGGGGGGGGGGGGGGGGGGGGGGGGGTAAGGATCTGCTATGTGCTCTTTCTAATGCATTGTATAAGTTGAAATTCATTTCTTTAAGTCGTTGATGCTGTTGTTCCATATGTTGCTCGGTTTTCCCGTTGCCAATCTATGATATTTCTGCGGTTAAAACCTCTGCTTGGTCGACCTTTGGATCTGTTACCATTGTATCTCTATAGCACTGCTCTCTGGGGCGCTGTCTCCGACAAAAAGTTCTGATTGTTCAACAACTTCTGGACTTAGTCTTGTTGCAAAAATTGAGTTTTATGTACACATCCGTTTTATAGACCTGGCTTATTTATATCCAACTACTGTTCCTCATCTCTCAGGCACATGCACTTCGACTTTAAAGGACACACCCCTAATTGGTTGACTTTTACAACATACTTTGTAGGAGGGGTAGTGGATCTATTCTTTTTTCCTTCTAAAATGGGGCCCCTTAATTCAAACGGGAAGCCCCAGTGGTATGAAAATCAATAGATCAATCTGTGTGCACATGTTGGTGGGTGAGTGTGTGTGCATGCTGATGCCACGTATGGGTACAAATAAACCCCAGAACATCCACTGAACTTCTATAACCAGAAGATCAATAGTAACCGCAGATACATAAAATACACAGAACAATGTAAAATAATACAACAATGTATCTGCATAATAGTACGTATTTACATACCAACATAATAATCCAGATCAATCTGTTGAAAGACAATGTTATCCTTTAATGGATCGATATCAGGAACTGGAGGTCGCGTCCATGCTCCCCTGCTAGGTTCACTTTCTGGTCCATCGCCTTCCTCATCCACCATTTCAACATCTTCTTTTATCTCAGCCTCAACTTCATCCATTAGTGCTATATCATCATCAAAGTCAAACTCTTCATCCATCTCCTCACTTCTGCAATGTATTTTGAAGTATACAGACACTTTTATTTGTATGTATTTTGAAATACAGACAAATAGGATTTGGATACATTCTTTATTTTAAGTAGGCGAAATGAACAAGCATTTAATTCTCCTGGGATGTTGGCGATATCACACACTAAAACTTTTTCCCAGACGTTAAGTGTTAAGGTACAGAGATAAGATTGACCAAGCAGACTTACTGACTGGAGATTTGCACACCATCTGTTGGTGTCAGATATTTTATCTCTTAGCCAGACTTTTAGGAGCAGCTAACTCCGGCTAATTGTGTTTAATTCCCCCTGAGGTTACCTAACTCGACGGCAGGTCCGACGGTCACTATTGACACAGTGAGCGGAAAGTGTTGGCAGAAGAATTGACACCGTCTGATTTTATTGTGAAGGCAGGTGAAGTAGGCCGGAGGTGTGACTTGTCCTATTTGCTCTGTCAGATGAATTGACCAGGAGATCCTAGCGTGGGAATGCAAACAATTGTTGTACAGTCACTGACTGACAGTGAATATACACCCACAAGGGAGGAGCTGTGATATCCCTTAATGAGAATGGTTTTAGGCGTAATGTAGGAGGAGCTTGATAAAAGTTATAAAGGGCTGAACTCTAGGTCTGGTAAATGAGATCCTGTCGAGCACATGCCATCTGTTGGGCTTAACCTAAGCTTGAGACAGAACTTTTGGCATCGTGGTTTCATTTTTCCAGGTAAGATCGAAATTAGGTTCACATCTATATTTTATGATAGAGATCTGTCTTTTTGCTCAAGTGTGTCTTCATCACTTTGTAGTACTCCTAGGCGGACATTTCTTCATTCTCGTAGGGCACTGTCACATTGCTTTATTTCCTATTTGATAGTGTCATGAATGTTTTTCGTGCACATGTGTTTCAATGTTGTAAAACCTAAATGTTGTTGTTGCCATTGAAATTTAATGAACTATCATGTTTTTGAAATCACAAGCGTGAAGATAACTTTGGCAATCTTTTCACGTGTGGTTAATGTGAATCTGTATTACATACAGCTAACACACTGAAATGTGTTTAACTCTCGGGAGGCTAATGCGGAGATTGATCCCGGAGAGAAAATCCTTGAGATTTGGTATTTGATTCGCCTCAGAAATATTGTTAGCTTTCTGGGCGCGTCGATTGTTCCAAGCATAGATTCCAGAACTGGTTCTGTCTGACTGATTGTCATTTTGAGTCTGTACGAGAGATGGCACCTGACGTAGAAGACTTGACTATCATTACAGGACGTGTAGAGGAAGGCAGAAGATGTAACAGTTGGAATGTGAGACATAAGCCCTTCCAAATTGGACAGGAGTGAATGTGAGCATGAGGGAGAGATGAAATGTTTTATTTAAATAAACATGTTTGATGTTATTATAATATACATGCTTAGTGTACATCTAGAGCAGATACTACAAATATGCGCTTGTTTCTTCATTCTCCAGTTCCCACATTGGGCAGGGACTAGTAGGCATCCATTATTTGCCGACCGTCGAGTGTAACGACCTGCAGAAAGCAGTGAGGACGACAAACTGGAAAAGATAGGCAGGGTCTCAAGCCGAGAACTGTCCTGATGAGCTAAGTTATGTACAACTTTAATGTCATCTATAACATCATCCCAACTCTACTAGCCTAAACAAGTTCATTTTATTTTAGTCAGATTTATTAAATAAATCATGTGTAATGTTTAAACATAGTCGAGTAAATTGTGTACTTAGGTTCAAGTGTCTTTGTGCATATTAGTTTACTTCAGCTAACAAATATTTAAATCACTTGATGGGGGCTTTTAAGTAATGCCAGGAGAGGAGACCAGTCGCAGGGGTTAACTGAGCACCTGGATTATATCACAGTGGGTGTATCCAGAAATCTATCTATCCCTTCTCCTACTCCTGTGGATACAAGTACAGCAACTTTCATTTCATGGAACGAGCCACTCGCTGTTTTCTTGGCTATCCAGGACTGTCTAGGATCAACATAGCTTAGATAATAGTCCAGTTTCTCACGTGGGTGGGCATTGTTAAGGTTCAAACCCACACCCTCACTATATCAGTGTATTTACCCACGTGGGCGCGCGACAATTGGGGATCTCGTCCCGGCATAGAACCCACCGACAATTGGGGATCTCGTCCCGGCATAGAACCCAGCGACAATTGGGTATCTCGTCTCGGGGTTTATAACATCATGTAACAATTGTGTCGCTCTCTAGAATTAAAACCTGACACAAGTGGCGTCCCGCCAGCGATCAAACCCGGCAGACCCTAGACTAACGATAAAAAGTTTAATTTCATAGATTTCATTTTAACTCTTCATCCAGTTCTTAGACTAAAATCATACTTAGTAATTGGTAACTGGGAAGATTAGAATTATAATAACTGTAAAAGTATTTAATTGATGAAATCATATGAGTTAACTGTCTATCATTGAACATTTCATGAACATTGATCAATGTGTAATCTATAGTGCTTAGTTAGAGTTGATGAATTGATGATTTTTTTTTGCTTGCATATTTCATTTGATATAGAATGTAGAACATATTACATGCTGACATCATATCATTGAGATTAATAATTAGTGACTGAGTGTAACATCGCTTTGATCATTTATAGGTTTATCTTTTTGCTGCTATAGTATTCTATAGGCTTGTTATCTGGTAGGCTGCTTTGCATCATATACATCTTTGTGCGGCTGTCATAGTCTCCTCTGGTGCCAAGTTCACTGTACTTTGCTCTGACATATCCTTCTTATCCTACCTCGGGGAAGTATTACATTTATCTCTAGATAGAGAGAATGGACTTACGTACCGAGTACCAAAAAGATGTAAGAAAATTCAGGATAGCTGAGGGTAGAGTAGGGGCACAGTTAGAAACATATATTAAATGCCAGATGGATACTTTTGATTATATGGTTGCCCGTAATGCTGCAGAGAAAAAGCGCCAGTTGGAGCTAGAAGAATATAATAGGCAGGAACAGCTTAGGAAAGAAGAGTATGAAAGAGAGGAACAGCTAAGGAAAGTAGAGTATGAAAGAGACATACAGCTTATAAGAGAGGAATTAGAAAGAGAGATAGAGTGTATTCAGGAAGGATTTGCTGAAAGGATGCGGCGTAAGAGTGAAGAAATTCATCGAAAACTGCTACTTGAGAGGGCAGAAAAAGATAGGATAAAACAGCAAGCAGAAAACATTAGCGTTGAGGAAACTGCGAGTATATGCGAGGAAAAAAACCAATACCTCAGGCTGAAACTCAAGCAGGTATGGTGGGGGCAAACTATCTAACCATTGTGGTGTGCACTCCTTGGCCAACTCAACAGCTAAGGAAGAAAACATAAAAAACCGGAGGACAGTATCTCACACCTCTTATTCCTACAGAGAAAAGAGGCAAACAAGAGAACTCTTCTTTAGGGATAACCAGATCTACATTGCTGGACCCCTTTACTTCCATTCTTAAGCCTAAAAGGAAAAGATGGAACAAGAAGCAGAAATCTTCTAAAGGGACCAGATCTACATTGCTGGAACCCCTTACTCCCATTACCTCAGACGAGATAAATGAGAGCGAACCTGACAGTAGTGACAAGCGTGATAACGGTTGTAACCGTAGACATAGCGGTTCGACTGACACACCAGACATTAATGAGGACGAGGGCAAAGACTTACCCAACTCCCATATCCCCTTTGGTCCCTTCATGCAAGAAGAGGAATTAAAGCAGACTGATGTAGGGAATAACGCTGAACCTGTGTCCCCTATTTCCTTGGATGCGGCCGCATGCCTAATGGAATGTGTTAGTTCTGACTTTACACCAAAAGGAGTTGACTGCGATGGCGGCAACACACCTCCTGATTTGCTTTCACTGGACTGTGCATATGAAAGCCAGACCAAGGTGAGAATAGCAGATGAGGAGGAGAGTTCTCTGGACGTCTTGACGATCTTAGAGACTCGACATAAACAGGACAATTCTGCTAGGCCTGTGCACGTCGATAATGGACAGACAGAAGTGTTTGCCATTATCGAAGAAGAAAATACTTTTCGTGAGCAGGGAGACAACTTGTCTCTGCTGCCCTGTACAGCTGGGGCGACAGGGATACTTCTGATGAAGGACCCTGAAGCAGAACAAGCCATGAATAGTAGGGAACCCCAACATTCTGGTCTTGTAGTACTCTTTGCTTCGAATGAAGTGACAGGGGTATCTCAGCTGGTGGTGGAAACTTCATTGCGAAGAAATCCCACCTTACAGTCTACAGGAAACCCTGAGTTTTTTTCTGATTTGACTGTATACCCTGACTTGATTTCGTGCTCTGACTCTGGACTGATCTTTGTTAAAGACAATTCCACCCTGACAATTTGGCAAGGTAAAGACAGAATGCACCGAAGAGGCAACAAATGGACACTCTTCAGAGAAATTGTTAGTGGTAAGTGGCACTCACTTCGTGGGATCACGTTGAGTGAAGATATCCCTCGTTTTAAGAGGAGATTTGTAACAGATTTTTCAAGAATCTGTAGACGGAGGAAAAGAGGATCCAACCTGACTGCAACTAATCCTTTTAGTAGAACACTTCAGGCTCTCCCTAGGCAGATAGGGCGCGGCGAAGTGAGGAAACGCACAGAGGTTGTCAGTCAACGGCGCAGAGGAGTCCCGTTGACAAAGCATGGATCTTTTATTATCCGATGGAAGGAGGAACCTCCAGACGAAGGGACATTACCGAGCGACTGCTTGGAATACCCGCTCAATACCAGGATCAATGACAGTATTGAATTATCCTGGATGAAAGGACATGGGATATCTGCAGATGAGTGCAGGAATTCCCACTGCCATAAAGAATACTGGAAACAGAAAACTTATGGGCAGTTATGCTAAGGAGGACTTGAAATTCTTAGAAGCCACAGAGCGTGCAGATGTGCGGTCAGGGTGACCGAACTTAAGGGAGAGGCTCTGTGACAATACGCTCGGTGACTCCAGAATGACTTTCCTCAACCTACTTTTATTTGTATGTATTTTGAAGTATACAGACAAATAGGGATTTGGATACATTCTTTATTTTAAGTAGGCGAAATGAACAAGCATTTAATTCTCCTGGGATGTTGGCGATATCACACACTAAAACTTTTTCCCAGACGTTAAGTGTTAAGGTACAGAGATAAGATTGACCAAGCAGACTTACTGACTGGAGATTTGCACACCATCTGTTGGTGTCAGATATTTCATCTCCTAGCCAGACTTTTAGGAGCAGCTAACTCCGGCTAATTGTGTTTAATTCCCCCTGAGGTTACCTAACTCGACGGCAGGTCCGACGGTCACTATTGACACAGTGAGCGGAAAGTGTTGGCAGAAGAATTGACACCGTCTGATTTTATTGTGAAGGCAGGTGAAGTAGGCCGGAGGTGTGACTTGTCCTATTTGCTCTGTCAGATGAATTGACCAGGAGATCCTAGCGTGGGAATTTAAACAATTGTTGTACAGTCACTGACTGACAGCGAATAAACTTACCCACAAGGGAGGAGCTGTAATATCCGTGAATGAGAATGATTTTAGGCGTAATGTAGGAGGAGCTTAATAAAAGTTATAAAGGGGTGAACTATAGGTCTGGTAAATGAGATCCTGTCTAGCACATGCCATCTGTTGGGCTTAACCTAAGCTTGAGACAGAACTTTTGGCATCGTGGTTTCATTTTTCCAGGTAAGATCGAAATTAGGTTCACATCTATATTTTATGATAGAGATCTGTCTTTTTGCTCAAGTGTGTGTCTTCATCACTTTGTAGTACTCCTAGGCGGACATTTCTTCATTCTCGTAGGGCACTGTCACATTGCTTTATTTCCTATTTGATAGTGTCATGAATGTTTTTCGTGCACATGTGTTTCAATGTTGTAAAACCTAAATGTTGTTGTTGCCATTGAAATTTAATGAACTATCATGTTTTTGAAATCACAAGCGTGAAGATAACTTTGGCAATCTTTTCACGTGTGGTTAATGTGAATCTGTATTACATACAGCTAACACACTGAAATGTGTTTAACTCTCGGGAGGCTAATGCGGAGATTGATCCCGGAGAGAAAATCCTTGAGATTTGGTATTTGATTCGCCTCAGAAATATTGTTAGCTTTCTGGGCGCGTCGATTGTTCCAAGCATAGATTCCAGAACTGGTTCTGTCTGACTGATTGTCATTTTGAGTCTGTACGAGAGATGGCACCTGACGTAGAAGACTTGACTATCATTACAGGACGTGTAGAGGAAGGCAGAAGATGTAACAGTTGGAATGTGAGACATAAGCCCTTCCAAATTGGACAGGAGTGAATGTGAGCATGAGGGAGAGATGAAATGTTTTATTTAAATAAACATGTTTGATGTTAGTATAATATACATGCTTAGTGTACATCTAGAGCAGATACTACAAATATGCGCTTGTTTCTTCATTCTCCAGTTCCCACATTGGGCAGGGACTAGTAGGCATCCATTATTTGCCGACCGTCGAGTGTAACGACCTGCAGAAAGCAGTGAGGACGACAAACTGGAAAAGATAGGCAGGGTCTCAAGCCGAGAACTGTCCTGATGAGCTAAGTTATGTACAACTTTAATGTCATCTATAACATCATCCCAACTCTACTAGCATAAACAAGTTCATTTTATTTTAGTCAGATTTATTAAATAAATCATGTGTGATGTTTAAACATAGTCGAGTAAATTGTGTACTTAGGTTCAAGTGTCTTTGTGCATATTAGTTTACTTCAGCTAACAAATATTTAAATCACTTGATGGGGGCTTTTTAAGTAATGCCAGGAGAGGAGACCAGTCGCAGGGGTTAACTGAGCACCTGGATTACATCTCTTCCCTATGTTTCTGTATCTCTACTAAGGGTTTTCATTAACTGTTTTGACATTATTATTTCGCATCAGGGTTCCATTTAACCTTTTCCACGTAGCTAGTTTTCCGTAAAGCAGATCTTTTGGAATATATACATCCTCCCCCAGCCACTGAAGACGTCTCTGCTTGAGCAGAGAGTGCATGTGGTAATATCCACTCTTTCGATTGTTATTTCTGATATAGTAATTCCATTCTTTGTCTAAGATGCATCTCAGACATCTCATGTGGAAGGAATTCAACTTTCTTTTCTGTTGTGAGTAGAGAATATCTTTTAAAGAAAATATCTCCCTGTATTTTAAAGATGTATTCCTATTGGGAACAATTCTACTTGTGTTTTAACAACTGACGCTCGGCTTTTTAACATTCAGAAACTAGTATTTATATTAGATTAATTTTGCTTTTTCCATTACATTTCTGTGTATTACTGTCCATCTTATACTATTATCTTCACACAAAATACCCGATACCACTAAAATTCGATTGGGTTTTTAATTAAGTTTTGTTCGTCTAGTAAATAATTTGCATTTACTAGTCTCATTTTAACCTTATTTATAATGTTTTCTTTACTGACATTTTTTAGAGTTCTTCTTCTTAGCGTTCACTGGCTGTAAACTCTGGTGGAAAGTTCTGGTTGTTCGTCTACCTCTGGTCTTTTGTCCTTTGCCAGAATTTGAATTTTGTGTGCATATTTGTTTTACAGATCTGGCTTAGTTGAAAGCAGACTGCTGGTTCACATCTCATGCAGATGCACTGACATTGAAAGCAACATCTCTAATTATCTGCCTTTCACAACATGCAGTGGTTCAATCCCCATCATAAGGGAGCATGGAACTTGGGAGTTCAATTATTCTATTACAGTGCCAATTTCAATAGCTTCAAATGTTTCTACAACCTGCTTGTTAACTGTCCATAGCTCCAAGACATGATGCCAACAAACAAACAAAATATATGGAGAAAACATTACAAATAATTTCATTGCAAGACTGTGACACTGAGACTGACTTGATTCTCTTAGAGGGGGGTCCTCCATTCCCCTTCCGTTTATCCATTGGTTGTTTTGCTGAAGCTCCAACTAAAAGATAGAGTTAAAGGCAGAAATTATTATAATATAATTTTAAAAAGCTACCAGAATCAAATATCCTTCAGTCAGAACAAAGTATGTAAACATAATGTGCCACATTTTTAATTCCATTAAGAATGTGCTACTGACATGCTAAAAAAGGAAATTAGCTGTCCCAAAGAAAAACCTAAGTCTGCAATGGATCTCCTAGTTAGGTAGGTAGGTAGAGGTTCCAACTTCACTGCAGACGCAATACATCATAACTGCTCCATTCCTGTGGCAATCGAAATTACACAAGTGTTCTCCATTGTTCCATTTGAAAACTAGTTTAAAATTTTTATCAAAACTCAGTTCCAGCAAAGTGTTGAAGCCTGCACAAAGTAAATGCATAAGGCAGCCATCACATGAACCAACATTAACAGGGCCACACCAGAATTGCAGCTCCCTGATGATTCATTGTACAGGCTAAGTATACAGCATTATGAAGGCAATCAGCTATCTGTCATTTTGTGTGCAGTTCACAACACTAAACCCCAGCAAGCACAACAGGACAAGGCATTCTACAGCATGGATTCCTCAGCTCAGTGTACTCAAATCAGTATCTGTCCGATAGAACCTCAACAGACATGATGTCTTTCGTCGTGGTTGTACAATCTCTGAGACTGCTGTTCATTCATCACTTCATGTTAGCCTCCCATTTGTATCACTGTCTACCTCTTTCTCACTTACCATCTATTTTTTCCAACAGTTTGTTTTCATAAGTGTTGTGTCATTTACATAAATATTGTGCTTCTCCTTTTTTACTTTAGACCTCTCTGTTTTGACTATTTTTTTTTAATAGAGGATGGCAGAAAAATTATGTTCACACAACAACAAATGAGAAATCTATGGGGCAGACTGAGAAATGATATAATATTCAGTTCGACCTACAAACATGTGGTCACCAACTGCACCACCTTGTTCCCTTGCCCTCACCCCACAATGAGTAACCCTCTTTATGGCCGCTGATCAGAGTTCGCTAGCAGCTTTCATGTTCAGACTATAGTAGCAATACCCGCTTCCCTTTAAAATGTTCAGCGCTACCCTTTAAAATGTTCACCGCTACCCCTTAAAATGTTCAGCGCTACCCTTTAAAATGTTCAGCGCTACCCTTTAAAATGTTCAGCGCAGTCCCTGTAGGTATCACATGCTTTATACAATTCTGTCATTTATAACTGTTGTGTTTCCTGTTGTCAGTCTGATGATAAAGGCTAATACTAATAGCTGCAACATTCTTTGTTTACTGTAAATCAGATGGTTTTGTAAAGCTGACATACACATCATTTGTTTCTATTGTGTTTTAAGACTGCAGCAAAGAACCTTAATAATATATAATGTTCAAACTAGAGAAGAACTGCTTTTAGGCCTCAGTCACATGTAAACTGCGGACTTCCGGCGACTTAAATTGTGGACTTCCTGCGACTACCGCCACGAGTATCTCTGCGCCGCGGGCTAAACTAGATGGCTGGGACTCATGAGCAAAGCTGCAGGAGATGCAGAAGCTGCTGCTCATGAGTCCCAGCCATCTAGTTTAGCCCCGCTCCACGCCTAGCGGCGGCGAGAGATACTCTTGGCAGTGGGTGTAGTCCGCAATTTACATGTGACTGGGGCCCTGTCAGGGTGTGTTTTTGGCCGCCATAATATGTGGCCGTTATTCTGAGAATAGCCTGCTTTTATTTTGCTTGCTTTGACACTATTCTCTGTTCTGTACTACTACTACTACTACAGTCGAGTTTGGTGACAGTGTTGATGCAGTGGGGAGTGAGGCGGGGATCTGGCCTATACTCGAAGTTCTGGGAAAAGTAATCAGAACGGCTGAACGCTACTGAGCCTACTGGTACAATTGATATTGGAATTTATTGGAACTCTGCGCTGGCTTCTGAAAATAGGAACGGAGCGCTTATGGTTTATGATCACTTATCAACATTCATGTATGTGAAAATGCCCAGAGAGTGCTGTGGCAGTGCTGTGGTGAGTAGTAGTGAGGGTGTAAAATAATGTCGGTTCTTGGAATCAACGAAACTGCTAATTTCTGTAAACTAAAAGCATAAACTTCATTAGATGAAATTTCATGGGCAATAAGGAGCCTGAAAAATGGTAAATCACCTGGATGTGATGAGATACCAGCTGAATTGATTAAAGCGGGAGGAGAAGAAAGCATAAAAATCTATCATGCATTATGTGAAAAGATATGGAAATATGGTATTTGGCCAAAAGACTGGAAGAGAACTATCTTCATTCCAATACCAAAAAAGGGTGACTTGAAATTATGTACAAACTATCGAACTATTGCCCTGATCAGTCATGCAAGTAAAATTCTACTAAAAATTATAATGAGAAGACTGCATAAGAAAATGGAAGAAGAGATTAATGTAGCTCAGGCTGGATTTAGACAGGGAAGAGGAACAAGAGATCATATATTCAACATGCGTTTAATAATAGAGAAGTGTAGAGAATTTAATGTAAATCTGTTCTTATGTTTTGTGGATTATTCAAAAGCATTTGACTGTGTACAAACATCAGAAGCTTTGGGAAATCATGAGGAATATGGGCTTTCCATCACATATAGTGCAGCTCATTAAAATGCTCTATCAAGACCAACAAGCAGCAGTCAGAATAGATGGAGAGACATCAGACTGGTTTGGCATCAAGCAAGGAGTCCGTCAGGGATGTGTGCTGTCACCGTATTTGTTCAACCTGTACGCCGAAAATATAATGAGAAATGTAAGAGATGATATAAACAAGGAACAATATGATGCCCTAAACATCGGTGGTCATGAAATACCAGAAATTCGTTATGCTGATGATACAGTATTACTATCAACATCACAAAATGGTTTAGAAAACTTATTAACCTCACTCCAAAGAAATAGTGAAAATCATAACTTATTTCTTAACATAGCAAAAACAAAGATAATGCATACAAACAAAACTGCCATGGAGAAGGAAATATATGTTAATGAGGAAAGATTGGAAGTGGTGGAAAATTTCGAATATCTTGGGTCACTGGTTACCAACAATGGCGACACAATGAAAGAAATTAAACGGCGACTATCAATTGCTCTTCAAAGACTAAAACAACTGAATAAATTATGGAATTGTACAGATAGAACTACAAAGGTCAGATTTTTAAGAGCATGCATCTTTCCCATTGCAACATACGCCTGTGAGACCTGGACACTTACTAAACAAGCGGAACAGCGCATAAATGCATTTGAATATAAATGTTACAGACAGGTTCTAAGAATATCTTGGGTAAAGAAAAGAACAAATGCATCCATACTTCAAGAGCTGAATATTGAAGAGGGTTGGCTAGTAAAGACAATAAAACAAAGAAAATTGAAATATTTTGGTCACTTGAAACGTCATGGAAGTCTAGAGAGAACAATAATGGAGGGGTATATGCCTGGGAAGAGAGGAAGAGGAAGGCCAAGGAGAAGATGGGTGCAGGATGTGGCAGATGATCTCCAGATGGGTGTATCAGACGCAGGACATCTTGCTCAGGATAGGAAGGTTTTCCGGAGGGTTGTTATGGCAGCGAGGTTCCGCGAGGGACATTGACATGCTACTGAATGAATGAAAAGCATAAATATCGAGATAATCATACTGAAATAGACAGAACAGAACAGAGAAAAAAATTGAACAGTATAAAGAAGAAATACAAAGATGATAACATTCTTTAAAAAAAAAAATACTAAGAAACAACTGCCAGTGTAGTAAGTTTTGATTTTTCCGCTACGACAGCGGAACAATTTGTTTGAAGTTGAATAGTTTACACTTTTACACAACTGCGGGGGGGGGGGGGGGGGGGGGGAACACATCATCACATCAAATATACTAGCTTCTATAATTATTAACGCAAGATTGCCTGTGCAGTATACTGTCCAAGCGGTCAACTAATTAAACATTATTTTAGAATAATATGTCTTAGCTCCGTCAGGTGGTCACTCACAGGCTAGACAAAATGTGCGGGAATAGAGCTATCTACCAGTGTTGCCACTTTTCTTTGACAAAAAATATCCAAAACGGTGTTAAAAAATATCTAAAAAGATCTAAACCTGCGTGGAAAAGATCTAGAAAAAACATCCAAATTGAAAAAGTCAAAATTTACATAGCTTTTGTTAAGACTTACCCTACATAATCATGTCCTCACCTTCACTGATGTCTGCCTCACAAGATCCATAGGATAAACTTAGCTTGGATAATGAAGTTGAAGCTTCAGATCCAAAATGACCCTGGTAAGCTTTAGCTGTTCAAATTTCTTTATAAGTGGAACAGTAGGCTTATTTCTCTAGTCTCATCAGGCCGAATTTTAATGGCACGATATCATTTAAGACGTCAAATTTCATCCTGTTTTTTAGGTTAGATTTGATATAATTCCTAGCACTGAAAACTCTTTCTACATCAGCATTTGAGTGGGGTAGTATCATGGCAGACATGGCACTTTAAAGAGCTTACAGAATTGACTGTTTTATGAGGCATCTTTAAATTGTCTCACTTCACTCCAAAACGCTTTAGTTTCTGTTTTGTTTGTCCATTCAGCTAACTTTATTTTGGTTAACTGATATTCTGCTTCCGCGACACTATTATCAGTAGCCCCCAAAAATTTCATAACTTTGCCAGACCAAAACAAAAATATTGTAGTAAATATTTTACACAGTAATTATTAAATTGGCAATGAAAGAAAAAAAAATCTATAAAATATCTAGCTCCATATGAAAAGTTTCTAGAAAAATATTTACGATCTAAACGTCAAAAACAGTATCTAAATGCAATGAAAAAGATCTAAATTTGGATATAAAAGATCCAAAGTGGCAACACTGCTATCTACGGTTTAGTGAGAGTCGTCTGCTGATTGTTCGTCTTTAAAAACTTTCGCATAATCATTTCTCAATAGTAACATTTTAAAAAAAATATATAATAACATGTTTAAACAATTATTTAAAATAC